AAGAGGATAAGGCTAGGGTGAGGTACAATGAGCTTGTTTGGTGCCCTGGCTGCGGACATCCCATCATGTCAGTTTTACGCTGCATTGGGATCTGCAATCAGAAAAGGGAAAAACCCCTTTTCGCACATAAGTAACGAAAAAGGGCACTTTTGGCGTCAGGGGTCTGACGTGGAGGGTGGCTGACCAAGTGTGTTTTTGACGCGCTGGGAGTGAGAATCATGCAACACATGATCACATGGGGAGTTACTGCCAAGCTCTGGCTGGCAACTATATTGAAAGTAAAAACGGGTATGCTTTGCTTTTGTAAACAGAATCAGCTAAGATGATAAACTAGAGCAATGCGGCGCTGCTGGAGCTTTTATCCATTAGAGCTGGAGGTCAGATCACCAGAGGCTGCACAGGGTCTGTGAAGGACAGACACCTTTAGGAGCAGCTTGTTAAAAAAATGTATTGAGCATGGCTTCAATTGCAATAAAAAGCAAGTTATGTCCAAAATAAACAGAAGTCCACAGCAGCGCAGAGACCACCCCCATTCCCCCTTTATGCTGCCATCGCGTAATCTTTTGTGAAAAGGACACAATTGCTGCATTACTGCAGTCTGATTACTTATAAACGACCTAAGGCTCCCAGATGTCACTTCCGTGTTGCGGCAAATTGATGGCATTGTGTGTGTGCGAGTGTGTGCTTGTTTAACTATCTTACTCAGGACCAAAACTGGCATATTCACTAATCTTCTGAAAACCGATGGGCCTTATTAGGACCAAAACCCGGTCCTGATACGATGGACCCTGTCTTTGGCTTAGGGGTGAGGTTTAGATATAAGATGTAAATTGAGTTTTTGTTACAATTAGGTTTAGGAATACACATGGTTAGAGTTAGGGTGTGTGTGTGTGTGTGTGAGTGTGTGTGAGTGTGTGTGTGTGTGTGTGTGTGTGTGTGTGTGTGTGTGTGTGTGTGTGTGTGTGTGTGTGTGTGTGTGTGTGTGTGTGTGTGTGAAGAGACGACATTTTCCTGCTCCAGCAAGCAAGTAAGCTGGTTTATTTCAGCTTTGTCAAATTTTAAGGGATTTCCATCAGTTCAGACGTCTCGTTGTTGGATGCAAAGCGGCCTTCCATGTCGAAGGGTGGAAGCCACAGCGGCGACTGTGTTGATTTGTTGCTTTGTTTGTTTCTGGTTTCCATGAGTTTGTTCAATAATTCTTTGTAACAATTTTGGAAAATACCTTGGGATGACAATGTGACTTCATCAGAATGTAAGTCAAAATTAGTTTTTAAAAGTGGAAATGGAAAAAGTGACTTATTCAGTTCCCCAATGTACTCTTCATATCTTCAGGAACTTCCTTGTTGTCGTTCTTTTTTAAAACACAGAAACGGTTTTGTTACCTGTTTCTGACGCTACATTTCGCCGACGGCTGCCGGCTTCTTCAGGCTGCCATCACCATCAGCGTCAGCCTGAAAGCGTCAAAAACAGGTAACAAAACCGTTTCTGTGTTTTAAAAAAGAACGACAACATGGAATTAGAAATAACGCACAGCAAGAACACACCTAAGATCTTCAGGAACTTGTTTATCACTCATTGCAATCGCACAGGTCTGAAGAAAGCCTAGCTTGATTGATTACTGAGAGAGAGAGAGAGAGAGAGAGAGAGAGAGAGAGAGAGAGAGAGAGAGAGAGAGAGAGAGAGAGAGAGAGAGAGAGAGAGAGAGAGAGAGAGAGAGAGAGAGAGAGAGAGAGAGAGAGAGAGAGAAAGGCAAAGAGAAAGGAGGGAGGAGGACAACGTGAGAACATAGAGAGGAGAGTTTGGCCTGGCTGAGAGGGGCTTTAGTCAGTGTTGATGTTATTATTCATTAAGGTTCAACAAATTACATCCTGCAACAGGAAGGACAGATCAAAAGGGTCAGAGGTTAGGAGTCATTAAACCATTCCCATGGTTGATGTCCAGATGGTGTTCATTAAAAATAAATAAATCATGGGTCACAGAGGTCACAGGTCACAGGAGTCATGGTTCAAAGGTCACAAACTGTCAACCAATCAAGCTCACATTCTTAACTGTCATAAAGTATTTGATTTTATTTTTCCAGCTCCTCTCCTTCTGACAATCTTAATAATGTGCACAATTTTGCGTAATGGCTCTAAAGATAACCTTAACAGATAATGCTACCGTGTGTGGTGTGTTAAGAGTGCTCTGGTCCTCCTGGAAGCACGTCAAGACCACTCCTATAATAAACCAGGCTTTCAAACATGTTGGACTGTGTTAATCTGTTTTATGGGCACAGGAACATGCTGCCTGTTCAATGGAGAGGGTGCTCGCTGCAGAACTACAAAGGCGGAGCTGCACCAGTCAGCCCTGCCCATTCACGCAAACTCAGCCTAGCCCACTGACTGCTTCTGTTTTTGTTTATTAACTTTATCGTAAACTAACCTGACCCACATGAATTACGGCTGTTACTAGTTTAGAATTGTTAATGCTATGCTCTATGTTCCAATTAAACAATATAAATATAACTTGCTACATGACAAAGCCTGAATATATCCCGACATGAAAAGATTTCTTTTTCACGAATATCTGCCCACAGCCGCTCCAACAGAAGCCGGGTACAACACTATTTGAGGTTACTGAACAGTTTCTGGTAGTCCAGTGGCAAGATTGTGAGATTTAAGTTTTGCTTTCCTCTCTGCTGATGCCGGTTCGATTCTCGGTGGGGTCGGCAGCAATCTATTTAGCCAGCTGAAACATTTAATTTGTTTATATTTTAGTTGTAATGTTTATTTTCAGCAAAATATTTAAGTCTCTAAAAGTTCTTTGAATTTGGTCGTTCCTACACAGCATTTTAGTTGAAACTCTGCTCACAAATGGACTCACACTGGCTAAATAAACGAATAAATAAAAAAAAAAACACATTAGTCATTATATTGTGAACGGTATACCAATAAATTGTTGTAAACATAGTACTGGCAAGTGTAGCTAGAAAAGAAGAAAAAGGGTTTTGAACTACCTATGTACTTCCGCTATTGGGAGGCGAACCTGCGCAGAACTGCTTGTCAATCCGACTCCACAACCACTTCACCACTACATCTGATAAAAAACTAGTGGTATCACATGTAATTGTGCCATCTAGTGTGTCTTTGTAGATAGGATGTATGGTTTATTGGCGGTGTCTCACTAGAAGTCATTTCAGAAATAATTTGAGAAAATTCACAGAATATCCAGATTTGAGAACCAAGACCAGACTCGCTTCGGGGAAGGAGACCAAATTGAAGTTGAGATGGGAGGAAAATGCATGAATGAGGCCAAAAATGGCTTTGGCGTGTTTCTTATGAGGAAATGACAATATAACATGGTAAAAAGTTCCAAAAGTTAGATTTTTTATTATATGAAACCTTTACAAAAACTGTTCAATTAACTTCTCAACTCCGTCCTCAATCTTGCATTTTAGATGATATTAACTATAACACCCTCTTTGGTTCCAGAATGCTATCAAGTCTGACAACTGGAAGGAATTGGACTGACTCTGATGGAATGGGCGGGGCTGACTCTGGTGCAGCTCCGCCTTTGTGGTTCTGCAGCCAGCACCACTTGGTTGAATGTGACATTTAGCCAATCAGAAAGTGAGGTGACGGTGTTGGTACAAGATCGGCTCGGGGTCCGTCGACTGCAGATGACGTCAAAGTAGTTGATTGGCTGAACATGAACCTTACGGAATTACATAATCACGTTACGTTGTTATCACGTTACGTTGGTCCAGGCAAATCTTTCTGTTGGAAAGATGGACAACTTTTACAAAGAAATCCATCATTTCCTCTTTGAAAATACACTTTTAGCATAGAGCTGCATGTATATTAGGGCTGAACGATTAACTGCATGTGCAATTAAATTGCGATGTGACAAAAGGAGATTTTCTAATCGCAAAGGCTGCAATTTGGCAGCGAGTGGTTAGCGCAATGCTAATATACGTGGAAACACCCATAGGAATGCTAATGCTAAAATCACCGATTACATTATTACAAATTATGAATTAGAAACATAACAAATGATTACATTTGGAGTCTAATAGAAAGTAAAACTACCATCAATCAAATAAGTACAAACAGGTATTTTAGTAAAGGCAGAAAACTTTAAACTCCAGAGTCTTGGCTAGCAACTATGTGCGTAACTGAACTACGCATGGACAAGACATCAAATACTCTAAACACAAAATACTTCAATAAACGGGACACACTTCTTTCCTGCAAATACAGTTTCACAGGTGTTGCTAATACCTATGATCCTTCAAGGGATGTGCTCAAAGAGGAGTTCAACATTATGAATACAATATAGTGTCTTATTTTACAAATACCATTATAAACACAAACTTACGTCTTAAGAAACATTATTTTAATAACGAAACTGCTAAATTCTTTCCAACAGTATAGATGTGAAGTGTATTTTGTCCGAGTGGGTTTGCCGTACTTTGACGTCATCGGCAGTCGAAGGACCCCGAGCCGATCTTGCACCCGAGCAGATCCTGTACCGACAACGGAAGTGAGCAGCATGCTCCTCCACCATCTTGTTTTTTTTTTTTTTACTATTAAGTCATTTGTGATCAGGCAAGATTTTTGATCTGACTGAGGAATGTCCGTATGTGAAATCAGTTAATTTGCAGTGTGTAGTTTTTGCTCTGTAGATGCACACCACACACTGTAGCACCAACACTGTTATGTCTGTGCGTGTGGGGTTTGTAATTGTTTGGAAAATCTACTGCCAATTTCAAAATCCTGCCATGTGAACCGTATGAACTCCAAAACAATGTAGATAAGAAATCTGGGCACTTTTAGCCTCCAACAAATTTTTATTGAACATCAAAAGATCAAAATTGATCTGGAGGACATCTATTTTGTCAATGATAAACCAAATTAACACAACCTGCACAAAGTGCATATAATAACAGTACTGATAGCTGTCTGCCTCTGTCCTATTTGTAATCATTTAACCGTGTAGGTGAGTGTGTTCAGAGGCAGTACCACAGCATGCAGCTCCAGCCTGCGGCAGTGCTCACAATGGTACGAGTCCTGACGGTACGGCAGGTGTTTGGACATCAGACCCAGAGCGGCTGTAGCAAGCGCAGCGCTGATCAGATGCAGCACCAGAACACATTTCACCTGAAAACATCAGCAGCAGTGATCATGGAGAGTAACGTTCCAACAAATAATAACAAACAAGTTCATCTTAGTTTTATGGCCTGTTGCCATGATACATGACGACATGGAAAAGAGATCTGATTGGAAGAATCTGAGTCTCAAACTACCTCAGGAAATTATGTAATTAATAAATCACACGTCACGACGACATGTATTTAACATAAATGTATGTAACCATTTAACTTTCACACCACTTTTCTTATTTCAGGCCAGTCAGGGCTATATTACAATATAACATATTAAAACGTAAATATAATAATAATAAGAACAATACTGTATGCTTGATATGTTAAACATCCCAATTTTTAATTAAAAATTTCTTGTTTAGTAGGTTTTAATTTTCAGTTGTGTTCAATGTGCGTTTCTTCTTCCGGCACTCGCAGAGTACAGACACTTCTGCTTTTGCTCCCTTATCTTTTTTTCCCAAGGCTCTTTGTCCTGTCTGCCCACAGAGCGCTTCTCTGCATTTCTTCTGAAAAACCCTATTTTTTTTAGAATGGATTTAATAAATTGATCATTCAACGCAATTGACAAGATTTTTTCTACGATGAGAACAGAGGAGGGGGCTTCCACTTGCCCGCAAGGGACACACGCAGCGGGATATATGCTCGATTCCTGGATGGAGTAGAGGATCGTATGCCTCTCTCAGTTGTCCATTGAGGACGTCGAAGATGTGTGGATATTTGGCCTGATGATCACTGGATTTCTTCTGATTGGAGTGGGAGGATATCTGGTTTTCTGGAAATTTGGGAAGACAGGAGCGATTGGAGGGCGACCCGCACCCATGGAAAGCACCGTCCGTGTGGAGACCTCACAGACTGGGACGTTACTCGAGGTGAATCGTAAGCTGGACAATGTTCTAGCTGCGATACCGGTATTAGTGCACAAAATGGATGTCATCTCGGAGAGGGTCACCGGACGGTGTGGAGATGTTTAAAACCTGAATTGGCTTCACTGGAGGACTTGAATGATCAGTTACAGACTTCAAGGCAGAGAGGAAAATTATCTCTGCCTGACCCAAACAAAGTCTTGTTATCCGAATCTGATGCCATGGCAGCCTTGTGAATGCCAACAACAAACCCCCACAAAGGAATGCAGACAGATGCTGTGAAAACCCGACCCCCCCCCGCCTTCGGATTGGTGGACTTCAGCCTGGCGAGGTCATCAACCTGCAGGTGTCAATGTGCTCTGCGCTCCTCCCAAGATCTCCCTCCCACCTGTGGCTACAGTGGCGGAGCGCCATGGGGCTGCTCTCGCTGGGGAAACAGGATCCCCAGTTTTTTTTAATTGAATTGAATTAACATATAAGGAGTAAAAGGGTGCCTATAGTGCTTTACCTGCTGGTTTTGAGCTTCTATTATCTCTTTAATGCAGCTAAACTGACTTAACGTGCAACATTTTCTGTAAAAACACCTAACTTTGTTATGGTTTAAATATGGTTTTAATGATTAAATAACTAATTTCAGTTCTCTTTCTTAACATTCGTTTCGATGTCTCACTATGGGATACGCCCCTCCGCGGATTCCTCAGAAGCACTTATCTCAATACGCCAATCCTGATTGGCCAGTGACCGTGACGTACGCGTCCCCCTGCTACTATAAGTAGCAAGCGTCCCCACGCACGCCCTATTCAATCACCTCTTCTCGCTTCGGTGGTCGCTTATCTCTGAGGTAAGTTAGCTCAACTGTTCACAGACGGAGCCTTCTAATATTCTCTCCGTCGACGAACGTTAACTTACTGTCCTTCTGTCCTGGCCTTCACCATAGGCTCGGGGCATAACGAGCAGCTTCACACTCCAGTGCATCTGTTCGTTCTCTGCTAACACACCAGTTAGCCTACATGGAAGCCGCTCCTCCCACCAGAGGAGTCGACGGCGCAGGAGCTCGCCTCTGTACCTGTGGGAACAAAATCTCAAGCACAGACCCGCACAAGGTCTGCTCGAGCTGCCTCGGGCTGGAACACGCCCAGCTGGCATTGGAAGTCCCCGGGTCATGTGAGAGCTGTGCTTGCTTCAGCCTGAAGAGCCTTCGCCGGCGGCTAGCGCGCCAAGCTAGCCTGTCGGGGAAGGACCCTTGCCTGCCGGCCCCTGGGCCACTGCCTGGGGACGCCAGCGAACATGTCCTCCCGGAGCCGGAACCGTGTGCCGAACTCAGCTGGGGCTCACAGCTCGAACCGACCGGTCCGAGCCACCCCGTCGAGGACGTGTTGGAGAGGTGACTACGGAGACGACGGGGGCACCTCGGAACTCCTCATTTCAGAGGAGGACGAGGATGACGACGTTTTTCTCCCCATCGCTCAGGCCTCCATGCCTAGCTTTCCGTCCTCTCCCAGGGATGGAGCGGCTTCTCCGGCCGCCCACCTGGACATGCAGTCAGTCTGCCGACGCTGCGACCAGGCTCAACATCCCTTGGCCCACCATGGTCACTGAGGCTGTCAGATCCCGCTACGAGGGAAAGAAGCTGCCTCAGGCCACAAGAGCGGCAAAGCCCCTCCTTCCCGCCTTCCCGGAGCTTCTCCAAGAAGTGAGGTCCTCCTGGGACAAACACCCTTTCAGCTCCAGGTCTCCTGTCCAAGGAGCCTCCTCGCTGGACTTCGAGGGGATGGAGAAGGCTGGCATGCTTCGCATGCCACCGATGGAACCGCTGGTTGCAGCCCACCTGCACCCACGGCTCTCGGCAACTTCCTCCAGGCCTCCCGCTCTCCCCGCGAAGGCGGACCGCTTCCAGTCGGCGCTGAACGAGAGGGCGTACAAGGCTGCCGCCATCTCCGCCCGAGCTTTGAATGTCTCCTCCATGCTCTCGGCGTACCAAGCCGAGCTCTGTGAGGACATGAATACGAAGCCGGACCCGGAGGTGTGGGAGGAAATCACCGTACTGACCGACATCTGCCTGCGTGTACAGCGCTGCGCGGTCCAGGCCACGGGAAAAGCTATGGGCATGATGGTGCTTCAAGAACGTGCACGATGGCTGAACCTCTCCAACCTCTCTGATAGAGAGAAGGAGGACATTTTGGACATGCCAATCGTGCCTGAAGGCATTTTTGGCTCTGCCCTGGCATCAATGCAGCAACGGTGTGAGGCCAAAAAGAAAGAGGATGAAGCCCTTCATCTCTGCCTTCCCCGTAAGCCCTCACCGGCGCTGCCGGCTTGGCCGAACCTTCCTCAGGCGGCTGTCCGAGCCCAGCCTCAGTTCTGGATCCCAAAGCGCCCGAAGCCTCAAGCTGTCCAACCAGCTCCTTCGGGCTCAGCGCCTCGACCAGTTTGGCCTCAGAGATCCGGCAACCAAGCCGCTCCGCCGCCGGGACAACCCACCCGACCCGGCAGTCAGCAGGTGAGGAAGAAGAAGAGGGCAGCCTGACGGAGTTCTTTCCCTCCGGACGCTGCAGCTGGCAGTTCCCCGTTCGCCAGCTCCTCTTGTTCGATGTTGCCATGGTGCTTTCTCCCCCCCCCCTCACGGAACCCCTCCGGCAGAGTCCCCGAGCGGTCCAGGGTGGGGCCAGGACGTGCAGCCGGCTGTGCCGGCTCAAAACATACGTCACAAGCACTCACATTGTTTTTCACAAACATGTCACGCTCAAGGAGCATTAAAAAGTTCGCTGCCGCATCCAGACAAAATGTCAAGGGCGCAGCAAAAATCAATAAAAATGTTGCCCATGAGCATTTCCAGGCGTGGGCGCCCCCTGGCGGACTTATCCGCCAGCCACGGGTCGTCCCCGTACGCCTGGGCCGTCAAAGCACAAAGTCCCCGCGCATGCGCAGTGGTTGCCACGAGCACCGCTGCCCCACAACCTCTGGAGGGAGCTGCTGCTCCGTGTGTCACGGCTGTGTCACCGCTCTCCACTCACATGGAGGAATGGACAGCGGTTTCTGCTTCACATTGGGTGCTGAGAACTATTTCGAGAGGTTACAGGCTCCAATTCGCTTCTGTTCCTCCTCGATTCTCCGGCGTAGTGTTCTCCCACGCCCAGGGGTCGTCAGCTCACATCCTTCAGGGAGAAATCTCCTCCCTGCTGGAGAAGGGAGCGATATGCATTGTGCCTCCCGATCGGTCTGAGAGCGGTTTCTACTCCAGGTACTTCCTGGTCCCGAAATGGGGAGGGACCGGGATTCGCCCGATCCTGGACCTGAGGGCCCTGAACCGATGCCTCAGAAAGTACAGATTCAAAATGCTCACGCTCTCATCCCTTTTGCGTCTGATTCACCAGAACGACTGGTTCACCTCAATCGACCTGAGGGACGCATACTTTCATATTCCCGTGTACCCTCCACACAGGAAATTTCTGAGGTTTGCCTTTCAGGGAGTGTGTTATGAATACACCGTGCTCCCATTCGGCCTCTCGCTGAGCCCGAGGGTGTTTGTCAGGTGTACGGAGGCAGCGATCGCCCCTCTGAGAGGGAGGGGCATTCGGCTGGCCACGTATTTAGACGACTGGCTCCTGCTGGCACGGTCCAGAGAGGAGGCAGCGTCAAACACGCTGGTTGTGATCCATCACTTGTGTGGTCTGGGTTTCAGAATAAACTGGCAGAAAAGCGCTTTACTCCCCTCCCAGAAAATAACCTTTCTAGGTCTAAATCTGGACTCAGGGGCGTTCACGGCCCGTCTCTCGACACCGCGCGTGAACGCGCTCTCGCTCTGCCTGGCGCGCTTCCGCCTACACAGTTCGGTGCGGTTTGCATTATGCCTCAGGCTTTTGGGTCTCATGGCGTCGGCTATTTCAGCGGTACCACTCGGCCGTCTACACATGAGAGATTTTCAACGCTGGGTGGCTTCTCTGGGTCTCTCTCCAGTGCGCCACAGAGCGCGCAGGGTGACGGTCTCTGTAGCGTGCGTCGCGGCGCTCCGCTGTTGGCGTCACCCCTCCCTCTTGGCACAGGGGGTGCCTTTGGGGTTGGTTCTCGTGAGGAAAGTGGTCACGACAGATGCGAGCCTGTCAGGTTGGGGGGGGGGGGGGGGGGGGGGGGGCTCCTGGAGGGTCGCTCTGTCAGGGGTGTGTGGAGCAGAGAGCTCTGGGGGACACACATAAATTATCTGGAACTCCTCGCGGTCTTTCTGGCCCTGAAGCGCTTCCTGCCTTTTCTCTCCGGCCATCATGTCCTAGTGAGAACAGACAACACCACGACTGTGGCTTATATAAACCGCCAGGGGGGGCTGCGCTCCATGCGGTTACACACGCTGGCACGCAGACTGATCCTATGGTGCAGCAGGCATCTCCTCTCAATCAGAGCCACCCACGTCCCGAGTGTTCTGAATCGGGGGGCGGATCTGTTGTCCAGAGGGACACCCCTGTACGGGGATTGGAGCCTGCATCCAGCAGTGTTGGAACAGATTTGGATCCGGTTCGGCACAGCCGTAGTGGATCTTTTTGCCTCCAAGGAGAATGCTCAGTGTCCTCTGTTCTTCTCCCTGCGCGACCGAGACGCTCCACTCGGCGTGGACGCGCTGGCGCACGACTGGCCACGGGGACTGCTTTACGCTTTTCCCCCAGTGGCCCTGATACCACCCACCTTGCTGAGGGTACGAACCCAGCGCCACACTCTCATTCTGGTGGCCCCATACTGGCCAGCCATGCATTGGGTGGCGGACATTTTCCAGCTCCTGGAGGGCCAACCTTGGAAACTGCCGCTTCGCAGGGACCTGGTGTCCCAAGCGGGAGGCTCGATCTTCCACCCTCATCCAGAACGGCTGGCCCTGTGGGCCTGGCCCCTGAGGGGTGTGGGCTAGTGTCAGCAGAGCTGCCCCAGGCAGTCATTCGAACCATTCAGAATGCTAGGGCCCCCTCCACTAGGTCCCTATATGACTGTAAATGGAGGGTGTTTGAAGCCTGGTGTCAGGGCAGGGAGGTCTCCCCCTTCCAATGCCCGGTGAACGTCATTCTGTCTTTCCTGCAAGACTTGTTGGATGGGAAGAAGGCTTTCTCCACCATTAAAGTGTACCTAGCAGCCATTTCCGCCCGACACTTGGGTTTTGGGAGGAAATTGGCAGGTCAACACCCCCTGGTGTGTAGCTTCATGAGGGGCGCGCGCAGGCTTCTCCCTGTGTCCCGACCCCTGGTGCCCTCATGGGATCTGTCCTTGGTGCTGTCGGCCCTCTCCGGGCCTCCATTTGAACCTATGGACGGCCTGGACCTTAAGATCCTGTCTCTTAAGGTGGTGCTACTCCTGGCTTTGGTATCTGCAAAGCGAGTTAGTGACTTACAGGCTCTCTCTGTGCACCCATCCTGCACCCAGTTTGCACCAGGTGACATGAAGGTGTCCCTGAAGCCCAACCCTGCCTTTGTGCCTAAGGTGGTGGGCTCCTTTTCTCCTATTATCCTCACAGCTTTCTACCCGCCACCCTTCTCCTCTCCTGAGGAGGAGCGGTGGCACAAGCTGTGTCCGATTTGCGCGCTCAAGGAGTATGTGAATCGGACGGAGAACCTTCGCAGGGGGGACCAGCTTTTTGTGTCATGGGGTGGGCCTCGTAAGGGGAAACCCGTCACAAAGCAGCGGCTTTCCCACTGGATTGTGGAGGCTATTTCTATGGCTTACTCCTGTCAGGGCATTCAGGCACCTGTTGGGCTCAGGGCCCATTCTACTAGGGGCCTGTCTGCTTCTTGGGCCCTTTTTCGGGGGCTGTCAATCCAGGAGATTTGTGCTGCAGCAAGTTGGGCTTCTCCACTTGCATTTGCACGCTTCTATAAGCTTGATGTTTCGGTCCCTGCAATGACTCACACGATTCTGAGTGTGGGGTCTTTGGCGGGCCAAGACATATCCCTGTAGGTTGGTGATCGCTGGATAAGCTGTCTGGCAATACGGGAGTCTCCATATCCCATAGTGAGACATCGAAACGAATGTTAAGAAAGAGAACTTTAGGTTACTATCGTAACCCCGGTTCTCTGAGTAACATGAGTGAGATGTCTCACCAGACAACCCTTCTTGCTGGGCGAAGCGAGAAGAGGTGTTTATCTTGAATAGTGCGTGCGTGGGGACGCTTGCTACTTATAGTAGCAGGGGGACGCGTACGTCACGGTCACTGGCCAATCAGGATTGGCGTATTGAGATAAGTGCTTCTGAGGAATCCGCGGAGGGGCGTATCCCATAGTGAGACATCTCACTCATGTTACTCAGAGAACCGGGGTTACGACAGTAACCTAAAGTTTAGCTCAGAAAAAGGCATACCTAACAAAGCAGAAAGCTGAGGATCAACTGGAGATCTGAGCTGCGTTTTTATGTTATCATGGAAATGCCTCAGTGGACAAGGAGGAGTGGGGCTTAAAGCTAGTTCTGATACCAGCCACGAGGGGGGGCACAGTTTTTACCAGGTTCTACCTCTGGGATCTGGTTAATTTCTGAAAAGTACTGATCAATTAGTTCAGAGACTTCTAAGGGCCTTTGAACTCGATGCATAAGCGCTGCATAATGTTCACGAAGTGTAGTTAGCAGCTAGCCTTGCAAGCCATCCTATTTATGTGAATGTATCAGAGGTGTGGACTCAAGCCACATGACTTGCACTTGAATCAGACTCGAGTCATTATTTTAATGACTTCTGACTTGACTTGATAAAATCTATAAAGACTTACGACTTGACTCAGACTTGAACGCCAATGACTTGCGACTTGAATAGACTTGCATCTGTTGACTTGATGATGACTTGAGCATATTTGATATTTTAGCACAAAAGTGGCATGACATGGACAAAAATCTGGGTTTGATCTTGTTCTGCTAAATGCAGCAGCATTTTGTTTATAACCAGTCTCAGTTGCACTTTCTGCTTGTTCGAGCAAATAAATGAAGCTTTAAGAAGCTTTATTTCTGGAATGTATTTATTATCATTGTCATTAAATTGAATTTGGACAGATGACTTGATTATGACTTGAAAATTCAAAGTTAAGGACTTGAACTTGACTTGGACATCCAGATCATTGACTTTGGACTCGACTTGGACTTGGTTGTCTTTGACTTGGACTTGACTCGAGACTTGACTGGAAACACTTGTGACTTACTTGTGACTTGCAAAACAGTGACTTGGTAACACCTCTGGAATATATACAAACTTTGTGGAATATTTACAAACTTTGCAAAGCAAGAATTGGCCTAGTTCACTAGGCTAGTTAACAGCTATAGCCGCTGCTATAATGAACGAGTGTGTTTCCACCGGTCGAAAAGAGTTGAGTTTTGTGTAGAGAAACGTCGCTTACACTTTTATGTTTTACATGTGACACTTCCATAATGCATCAAGTTCAGAAGTTCATATTGGGCCAGAAAGCAAGTTAGTCTAAAACATCTGTAAACTTTCAGACTTCCAGTAGGTTAACCAGTAAAACAAAAGTAGGTCATTTTCTGTGAAACCTCCGTCGTCGGTAAACGGCACAGAAAATAAAACAGGCCTTTTTGGACACACGCTACCATCTTTCTCTTTCCTTGTTATTATGTAACCTGCCAAAATCATGCGTGGTCTTTCAATTCTCATGGGATGGGCTGCACAGAACACTTTGCTGCTGTTTTGCATCTGAAACGAGCTTCCGGCTCTTGGAGGGTGCAGACGCTTTTTTTCCTCCTCTCCTCCATATCTTATCCTCAAGGCCTTTGTCTGTCTGTGTGTGCTGGGTGCACGGGTGCTTCTGCATTTTTCTGGAAACTGAAACTGAAATTCACTTAAATGATCTCGTCAGTTGGTCTCTCTATGCGATTGATAACATTTTTTCAACGATGAGAACGGGAGAAGGGGCTCCCGGATGCCTCACCGGGACAGACCCAGTTGGACACATCATGGACTCCTGGAAACAGTGGAACTTGATCCGTCTTTCTCAGCTGTCTATGGAGGACTCTGAAGACGTGTGGATATTCGTGGTGTTGGTGTCAGGTTTCCTGCTCATTGGCCTTGGAGGCTACATGGCTTACCGGAAAACTAACGAGCTGTCGAGGAATATTGGCCTGATCCCGGAGCTCAGAGATGGTTTGCACTGCGCTGTGAATTCACAGACTCACATAATTGTCTAGATGAATCGTAAGCTTAGGACTTTGGCGGAGATTCATTCTTTGGCACAAAAGATGGATGCCATCAAGGATAGAGTGGACGAATCAGCACGGAATGGGATAGTTTAATGTCCATTATTGGGATTTTGAGAGGTTGAGGACCAACAAACTGTAAGACAGAGAGGAAATTATCTCTGTCTGGCCTCAAAACAATTTCTAATTGGAATCTGGCGTCCTTGAGCCTGCTAGGCTCCAACGAAAACTCCCCCCTCAGAAGATATGCAGAATGTGCTGTCGCTATGGCAACTCAACTCTGTATCCTTTCCCAACCTGGGCGAGACTGCGGGAAGGCCGCTGAAACATTCCAGGGTCACTGCAACCCTCCAACCCTCAATGCTCCTCCCCCATCCACACTGAGGTGACATGCGCTGCTTATCGTGGCTGCAGGAACTGAAGTGGGGATAGTCCCAACCCACCACCCCACCTAGTGGACACTTGTGTTGTCTGAAGTCTGTTGCATATATGTTTGAGGTGTTTTTCTGCAGAGCAAAGCTGCCCTCCTGGTGGGAGGGTAGCTCTGAAGTGCCTTTTTTTTCCCTCCACCTGAACCAATCCTCATGTAACCCCTCTCATCTCTATTAAGGTAGCGCGACTCAGGGTTGCGAATGACCACAGTCACCAATTCTTGTCATGTGTCTTGCCCATGTATGTCTGATCTCTGAATTGTGTGTACTGAAACTCTAATTTCCCTCTGGGATTAATAAAGTATCTTTGATTTGATTGATTAAAAAGGCATCTATTAGATCATGCACTACGCATCCAGTGAAAAGCTGGGGTTAGCCTTTTGGAAGATGATGAAAGATGTTCTGTATCACAGGGATTGTTCTGTATGATTCAGACTCACCCAGAACAGAGTAGGTCTCCTGCCGCTGTGGACCAGAACCGAGCCAGACAAGGTTACCTGTTGGGTTGTAAGTAGCCTACATGAATACTTTTATGAAAACGTCACAGAACTATTAAAGGCCTTGTCAAACACACCTAGAGGTGTAACCTCTGACCAACCTGTATGACAACAATCAGAAAGAGGGCCACGTCCCCTGTGAAGTGGACCTCATGGAGCTGAAGCACGGAGGCACTCAGACACAGGATTAGCGCCCCAATCACTATCTGGATCGCCTGGAGGAGGGGGAGATCAAACAGGAAGTGACCAGAAGCTTCCCAGACCTGATCTAAACCCACTCCATCCATCTGGGAACCCTGAGAGGCAGTGTTTTCTGTATACCACACTAGATGAAGGTGTTGTGTAAAATTTGGTTAACAGTCTGATTCGTGCTCACCCCCAGAGTTTTGGGCTCCATCTTCAGGTGGGACTGTAACTGTCCCACAGAGAGGCTCCCTGCAGCCGGCATTGAGTCTTTGTCATTATCAGCCATTCTAAACCTGAGACAAACAGCAGGTGTCAACCCAACAAGAACCAGAACCGTACCAGAACAAGAATTTAGATAGAGGACCACCAGAAATAGTCTGAGTCAGGCAGTCCAAAATCCTGCTCAGGATTTCTATTGTATGATGTTATTAATCTGATTGTTTATTGTATAGGTGGTTTTAATCTGTTTATTATAAATTAGCCTATATAGATGTTATTAATCTGACTATTGTTTATTTTAAAGTAATTAATTAGACGATTATTTATTTTATAGATGTTTCAGTCTGACTATTATAAATTACATTAATCTGAATATTATTAATCATAAACATTTTCTAAATCTGACTATTATTAATTATATAGATATTACTAGCCCGAGTATCATTTATCACATAGATGTTATTAATCTGACTGGGATTTATCAGAACCATGTCCATCTGGATCCCAGTCCTGATCCAGAACCCGACCCATCCTGACCCTGATGTGAGGCTAAAACCTGAACTTCAATCTGATGCTTCAGACCTTCTGAACCAATCCAACACAATATTTTACTGTGTCTCACGTTCTGGAGAGCTTCACACACCGGAACCAGACTATGTTGTGTGTGTTATCCCCCCCTTTATTATGCGGATCATTCTCGCGCGCGACCAGTAGGAATGCGCCTGCGTGCAAACTGATGTTATGACTTTCAGATCCTGTCAGGTGAATAAATAATGACATTTAAAATAATGCGAATTCAGTTCTGGGCGGAACGAGAACATGACGAGTCCAACAGAACCGGGATCTGACGGAGGTTCAGGTTCAGGTTCTGGTCTGGCTGCAGTTAGACTTGGCCCAGTTCCAGAGGCCCGGACCAACAACTCCATTCGGACCCCCAGAGTTTTACTTATTTAAACTCGGTCCCGTTTAGTACCATCGTTTAAGAGGGATATCCGAACGGTCCGGAACCGAAACGAACCCTGAAACCCTTCTCCCGCAAATGTTAATGTCAGGTCCCGTCCGGTCCCGGTCCAGTTTCTGATGGAGCCCGTCTCATTTGGACCGGATCCTACCTGAGCTGTGATTGTCGTTCTGGTTCTGCGTCGAGTGTCCCGTCCGGATCTGGACCCGCCGCCTGCAACCTACCGCTGCTCTGCAGGATGCTGCAGGGTGTGTTCGGTTCTGGATCTCACTGCAGCACTGCTGCTGCAACTCTTTTGGTCCTGCTAACACACGCACTTCACATGCACGACTGCAGACCGGCCCAGTTGCATAAGATCATCTGAGGTGACTTTAACACTGGATCCAGAACCGAACCCGGACCCAAAGACGGATTCTTATCAAAAATAATCAGAATTTCTCGATTAATGCGCCTAAAATGAAGCTGAGAGGATGAAAGGACATTTAATTATTAAGAATTAATTCTATGGGGAGCTGACTGTTAAAACAACAAAAACATAGTTTGTCTTATTCAGCTCATCTAAATTTGGGATTTGAATGTTTATTTTTCAGTTTTTGATCATTTACTCAGAAACAATTAATGGCAACATGTTCTAAAATAAATATTCGAAATTAAAACAAAAAAATTAAAGTTAAACCTGAACATGACAAATACAAAATATGATTGATGAATTTGGGATCAAATCTTAAGTTAGGTTGGAAATTCAGAATGAAACAGAAGACATTAAACAGAAATCTAAAGGTGAGGAGATCCCCATGTAAGATCAAACTGTGTGAGACTTCAGTCATGGATCAGTCATCCTCTTTTACGAGCAATTCACCACCAAATCAACCTTTTTTGTTGATAAACTGTAAAAAATAAGAAATAATTAATAAAAAATAAAGAACGCACACTTTCCGTCATTAAATCAAACGTTTTTCCAACATTTTCACAGACTTTTTACATCATTCTTAAATGCTTATAAAAGTGTGGAGAAACTTTAAAAAAATTACATTTGTGCATGATTTTTCCCCATTACGAAAATATTGTTACACAAGAACTCCATCTCCTGGTTTTTGAACAAAATGCCAGCATAACCATATTATAATCAAACAGAGATACAGTAATATTTGAAGACCACTCATGAACCATCGCACTGAACAATCTGATGTTCCAGAGTATTATTGTCATTTTGACAAAATTTGCATTTGTTATGGTCAACATCAAATCTTAGTCTCAAAAATACAGAGTATGGATAAATATCATTAATCATCTAAAAATGAACTTATTTCTAAAAATCATCTAAAAATAACTTGATTGATTGATTGATTATTTCATTTTGGGTAATAAAAATGATAAAGATTTGGTTCTAATATTGAAGATTTCATTTTCCATAAGCATTCCAAATGGTTTTTTTCCTTACCGCAAGCGGAATAAAAATTCTCTTTTTTCATTTTTAATCTTAATTTTTTCCCTTGTTGACTCTACAGTCAGTAAATTTGTAATGTATGTTATTAATTATATAGATTAGTGATTACATAGCTGGCATTTTCAGACCAAAATTACACACCAACACTGTTATCAGTTAACAATAATTTTTAACAGATATGTAATGCATTTTTCCAACAGAGAAATATTTTATTATCATACAGACATGCAATAATAAAATCGTTCTAGATTTGTACTTAAAACACATAAAGTATTTTCAGAAAGGGCCCTTTGCTTTCTTGTCAAAATTCTCACAAAGCAATGGAATACGAATAATACCGTTCGCCGAAGTCTGCGTCAGTGAAGATTTCGGTGAAGTGTGAATCGTTGGCGTAAAGAGCGTTGGGCCAAGGTCTGCACTTCAGAGTTAGGACGCCCTACGCCCTCGCACCCCTCGACATGCCACTGAGGGATGCAAGTGTGGAATTGTGAGTATTGGGAGAGGGACGAGTGGACTCTAGTGTCCTTGGAGGGGTTTGTTTTGATTCATGGACTGCAGTACCAAAATCTGACCACAGGATGTCACTCTTGCTTAATGCACTTTTAAGATAATAAAGACATAATTGGTCTGATTTCACTGTCCTTTGTGAAGTTGGGTCATATCAAGGCCAACCAGTTTGATACACAAAGTTAAATCAAACCCTCAGTCCTGAGCTTTCAACTAGACCAGGGGTGGACTGGCCATCGGGCATTTCTGGCATAGTCCCGATGGGCCACCCCTCGGTGGGCTGCTTACCCAATGTGGGTCAGTCCCCCCCCCCCCCCCCCCCCCCCCCGACATAAAACTGCCAGGGCTAAAATACTGTCCCACTCCACACTTGATTACATAAGAGTTTAAATAAACTTAATGTATAATAAACCTAATTTAGTGCCTTTAATAAATCATAGTCTTTTTCAAATCTATAATAACGTAAGTGTGATGAAAAGAGTAGCAATACGACTGTTGGATGCTGCTCAGTGGTGAGTTGTGCTGTTGTTAGATCAGGCCCAGTTGGTGACCTCTGCTCTAAAGGCTAATTAACTCCATCTCTACGTGGTTCATAGTGAACATCATCAGATGCAGTCCTGCTTAATAAGACCTGGAAGATAGATCTTTGTTCCTGAGAAGGTTTACCTCACAGACACGACCTGACTCTTCCTGGATTAGCCGTCGTCGTCGTCTTCCTCCGCTTATCCGGGTCCGGGTCGTGGGGGCAGCATCCCAACTAGGGAGCTCCAGACTGTCCTCTCCCCAGCCACCTCCACCAGGACCCCAAGGCGTTCCCAGACCAGATTGGAGATGTAACCTCTCCAGCGTGTCCTGGGTCGACCCGGGGGCCTCCTGCCGGCAGGACATGCCCGAAACACCTCCCCGGGGAGGCGTCCAGGAGGCATCCTGATCAGATGCCCAAACCACCTCAACTGACTCCTTTCGATCTGGAGGAGCAGCGGTTCTACTCCGAGTCCCTCCCGAATGTCCGAGCTCCTCACCCTATCTCTAAGGCTGAGCCCGGCCACCCTATGGAGGAAATTCATTTCAGCCACTTGTATCCACGATCTCGTTCTTTCGGTCATTACCCAAAGCTCATGACCATAGGTGAGGATTGGGATGTAGATCCACCAGTAAATCGAAAGCCTGGCTTTCTGGCTCAGCTCCCTCTTCCCCACAACAGATCGGCTCAGCGTCCGCATCACTGCAGACGCCGAACCAATCCGCCTGTCGATCTCCCGATCCCTCCTACCCTCACTCGTGAACAAGACCCCGAGATACTTAAACTCCTCCACTTGAGGTAGGACCTCTCCCCCGACCTGGGGCAATTAGCCATTCCATTAAACCGTCCCACCTAAACTTGTCCCACCTTAACGTATCCCACCTAAAGCCATCTCTGGTGGCTGAGGAGAACATGCTGCTCCCTCGTGTTCCTAGTTTCATGTTGTCTGACATGGAGGAGAAGCAGCACAGATATCCAGACAGCTGAAAGCCATTTTATTGAAAAGCAGGTAAACATTCAGTTCTGATGGGTCCACACAGAACATCTGAAATCAGATGGGACTGGAACATCATCGTTACTAGTCCAGACCCTTTGCTGTACTGGTACTGATTCTGGTTCATACCGATTTATCTCAGAGAACTTTAATCAACAAAACGCAGCCGTGTCTATCCTGGAACCAGAGCCAGTTCTGGTGGCTCTTCAAGGACCTTTACACCCAACTTCACTAAATGTGAAAAGATCCTGATGATTGATGATCTTTAAAGCCCAACTGGGTTGGTCCTGCTCTCAGTCCAATTGTTCTGTAACGGAGCACAATAGTGGGTGAACCGAGGGCACAGGAATGCCTGTAAAGCGTTCACATTTCACGTATGGTTCACTCAGTACCAGGAGATGACTGTCCTCCATCTTTAGACACCACTGTACTAGGAGTCTGGACCTTAAACAGAACCTGGTCCATTGGGCCTTGACCTACTGGTACCAGAAGCCCTTGTGGCCTTTGTGTCTCAGAGAGGGGTGTTGGGTAGATTCTGTCTATATTCTAAAAGTGACCCGTTACAGACGAGTCCAGCAGCTCGATCCCCATTCTGCGCCTGACAGCTGCGCTTATTGAAAATCTGGTTTCCTCTCAGAGCCTCCTGGTCCTCAGAGGTCCGACTGTCAGTGTCTCTGGTTAGCGTTCTGGTCTGGGGGGCGGTCCTGCTCTGACATCGCTGTCTGACAGCATACAGTGTCATCGTGACAAGCAGACTAAGGCAGATGACCAGCAGAACAGAAACTATTACCAACTCTTTCAGGAATCTGGGACACGGGGCCGACAGCACGGGCTCCCCATCAGGGAACATGGCTCCTCTCAGCCCCGACCCTGCTGTCCACAGGGTCCGGTTCCTGCTGAGCTGAGGGGTGGTGACATGACTGTTCCTGATGGACAGCGAGGGTTTTGTCTCCACCTGTCTTGATTCTGTGTCTTTTGGCCAGTTCCTAGTTCCAGAGGTGTGTGTTCCAGGTCTGGTTGATGCCTGAGTTGTGGGTCTGGCCCAAGTTCTGGTGTAGCTGGGTGGTGTCTGAGACCCGGTACTGCTCTTCTGCTTCACCTGGTAGATGGCCATGGTCTGTCGGTAATGGTTCTCTGTGGACAAGCACAGGTAGTGTCCCAGGGTAGTCGGGGTGGCCACGAAACTCAGACTCCCATCCTCCAACTGCAGGTACAGGTCAGCGGAGATCCGGCTGTTGGGTCGTTCCCACAGCTGCTGGGATAGCTGGGACGCAGCTGGACAGTGGAGCCGGACCACCTCGTTCAGAGACACAGATACCAGCTCACCTGCTGGACACGAGGCTGCCAAACAGATAGCTCAGTCAGCAACGGGACACAAGCAACTGGGTACCTGGTCCTCCAGGTTCACCATCCTGCAGGTTTTAGATGTTTACATACTTCAGCACCTGATTCAGAGGTGAAGGTACAAATTCAGTAGAGCCTTAAAGACCAAGTTCAACTAGAAACCATTTTTTAACGTGTTATCTTTAAGTTATGATCAGTCGCTCTAAATTTACCATGCAGGCTAAATATGAAAATAGTCTTCTGCCCCTATTTCTTACATTAGCCTTCAAAAGAAAATAGACAGGCAAATACTCAGAAAAGAGAGTCAGGTCTATGCCAAACTGAAAATAAAACTTATTCACTCACCCATCTTGGCTAACGACGGAGAAGGCTGTTGTTGCTTTAGCATCCAGGAGAGAGCAGAGCACGTCTCAGCTTGTAGATCTAACCGTTAGCATTAGCAACTCCACAACAACACAGAACACCTTCAGGCTTGTGCTATTTGTGGAGATAAAACTTTAATGCAGAGCAAACCGAGTCAGTGGTAGAGTTGTGTTGCTGTTAGCCAATCAGAAGCGAGGTGTCTGAATATCAGGTAATAAGACTCCAAATCCTGCCATCTTCTGCTCCCCTCTCGCCTGGCTAACTTTTACTTCCTGAAACAGAAGTGCTAGAGCTTGTTTCCCAACAGAGATCAACTTACAAGGCATTCATTTATACTAGCAACCACTGCAAATGTGTTGAAAAAAGAAGTGTAGTTGGTCTTTAAGTTGTGTGGAACCCTGTTAATGACCTGCTGACTCAGCTCACGGGTGCTGGAGCACAGAAACATCGGAAACATGAAGAGGAAGACCCAGGAGGGATGAAATTCCTTCAAATTCAAACTAATTAGCATCTTTACAGCTAAGGAGATGATGTTAAATGCACATGACAAAAAATAACTCTGTTTTAATTGATCTAAAATTGGTGTTTTTAACTCATTCACTGCCAGCCGTTTCCTGATCACTAACGGCCTTCGCTGCCAGCGTTTCTCACCGTTTTTACTGTTTTTTTAAGTCACAGAACGTTGCGCGCTAGCATGATGTCGACGCCAAAACAACCAAAACAAAGAGGAGACTCACCTCTTACATCAGGAAGAATCTGTGTGTTTCAAGCGTTATCCGTTCTTTCATAATCCGTTGTCGAATTGTGATCGGCAGACGATTTTCTGGTTTGCGCCTCACTTTTTTTACAGAAACGGCCCAAAACGATCTCCTAACACGTGGATGTGTTACTTCCTGATCATGTGATCTGTGACGTATGCGGATGAAGATCGGCTTCAGGGCTGAGATGTTTGTTCTCTCAGCGTGGGGGCTCGTTCCGATGCTCAAACAGTAAAAAAAATGCAAATGACGACTTTAGTCGTCAATGGCAGTGAACGGTTGGATCTAAAATGACGACTTTTGGCGTCAATGCCAGTGAATGAGTTAATAGAATGCTGTTTGATGTGATCCTGTATCTCACCCGAGGGCCGTTTGCTTGGACCAAATCTGGTTATGTGTGTTGATGAAAGGCTGTTGCAGGAATCTTCAACATTTCCACCATCAATGTCCTGGATCCTAGAGAAGGACAGCTATCAGTTATGATCCCTGTCCTCTAACTCATCTCATCTCTTAGCTGCATTAAGGTTCAGCCATGGTACTGACCCAGTCAAGCCTGGCTCAGGTCCACGGTTCAACGGATCAGGACTAAATAAACACATCTGGTTATTACCAGCTAGCCGGTTCTATTCTAATGTCATTTATCAAACAGAAACCAAGCTGCTGGTCCAGCAGAACCTCCTTCAGAAGCAGGAACTCTCAATCATTCAATTGTGATTTTTAAAGCACTTTTTACACACGGAGACCAAAGCACTGAGCATGAATAAAACCAAACTCCATCCAAGACCCAAACACAAGAATAAAAGTAAAAAACAAAGACTTTCAGCCATCCTAACAACATCCCAAAAGCTGAAACAGTTTCTTCCTTTGGGTCTCCTCCCAGTTAGATGTGCCTGGAAAACTTCACCTGATAGGCATTCAGCAGGAACTCAAACCAGATGCCTGATCCACCTCAACTGGCTACTCTCAATGTGGCTTTTAGCCAACCAAACTACGCTCCTCTGATCACATGACACCAGTGAGGCGTCGACCTGATCGAGCGATGATTGCTTGGATTGGGTCACCGGGAGATCATAAAGCTCATTTAGTACCTCAGTTTGTTTTCTCCCCAGTTTGTATGCAAGGCCCCACCCTCTTCCGTGCCCTTTAGTCCAATGGGGCATTTACAGCTGGGTCGGCTCAGTCTATCCCTGGCTGAGTAGTTTTCATGTTTGTTATCTGCGCGTTGTTCACGCTGAATCATTAATTTGTTTCGGACCTGCTCCCCAGTGGTCAGCTTGGTGCTGAGCTGACCCAACACACCCACTATGGACTGATTGGCCAGCCAAAGTTCACGCTTACCAACTACTGCAGGGCTCCCAAATTGAGGGTCCCCATAATTTTGTCTTTGCTGAGGTTGTGAGGTTAGCAAGCTTGTATTTGTAAAAATTACATTTATGTCCCAATAGCACACCCTACAGTATAAGTTATAACTCTGTATGACTGCATAAAAATAGTAAATAATCCCATTTCATGTGTGTATACATATAGGAGTTGGGGTTGGGTGTCCTGGCCACAAGCAAGGGGGTCCTCAAAGGAAACAATCTGGAAACCACTGAACTAGTGGGAGCCTCTGATTGGCAGGTAGAAGCAGCCAGAGGTGACTTCCCATTTGCACGATTCAATATTAAACTGGATGCAATGGGGTAAAAATCTTCCCCGACTGGGCATGAGGACTAAGAGGTTTGACTTTCTGATCCATGAGCAGGTTGTTGGATCAGTTCTCATTAAAGTGATGCTAAAGCAGGACTTACAGGGTGCTTTGGGATCCAGTGACCTCCGTGCAGATCCTAGTGACAGGGTCCCAGCCACAGAACGGGTCTCGGGAAAGAACACACTGAGCACATGTCCAGTAGTAGGAACAGTTGGACGTAGGAACCCTCAGCACACCCTCAGATGTTCCAATATATAGCTGTCCCTGTGTGGGGGCGGCGTCAGACCAGACAGGGATTATTTCACACAGAAACACAAACACATGGAATTAATCTGCTGATTCTCAAGTTTACACAAAAAACTAGGAATGAGTCCAGGATGACTGGTCTAATCAGACAGGTGGATCAGGTCCAAACGGGGACCTAGGTAGAACCTCTAATCCTGTCTATCTGACAGAAGTTATGTTTGTCTCTGTGTACCTTAGAGATGGAGAGTTCTAGGCTCTTGATGAGCTGAGTAGCCTCAAACACCTGAACCTCCTCAATGATGTGGACCCCAGGCTGCAGCAGAACCGCCTTGTGTAGGAATCCTGCTTCTGTAACACAGCAAGGTCCATCGGACAGGAGTTAGAGTGAGATGGAACATCTCACAAGTTTCCAGGAGGACACTGCAGCCCATCAACAGCATTCAGAGGCTGAGTGGTTCTGGTGGTTTACAGGATTCCTCCAGTCTAACACCACAAGTCCAAACGGGCTCTAGAACGTAACTCATGTCCATGAGCTTCATGTCTTCCTCCTCCTCCTGTGGACTGAAGCTGTTGAGAACGTCTGGAAACTCAAATGTTTTTCCATCCAGAGCTGAAACTACTGAGGAGTTCCAGACGGTTAAAGGAGCAACATGTAGGAATTCTACTGTGAAATAATCACTAAACAGTCTAACTTCTCAATCACGCTGGAAGGAATGTTGTACTGAAGCAGATTTCATTCTCAGCCGGCTGGGGGGTTGTCAGTTTTCTCCTTTTGAAAAAAAACAAAAAAAAAACGAAAGTGGGTCATAGTTTATGTTTACACTCGAATCTACAGCGAGCTAAGCATCAGTCACGATGATAGAAGGCTGCGTCTGGACTAGCTGCGGATTTAGAGATAAAAATTTAAAACTTCCACAAGCGTGATCAAAGAGGTATTCATCCTGAAAGCTACTTTTTAGGCAGTAAAGAAAAACAAATCCTTTTTCAATGTTCCATGTCCATTTACATCATCATCATCGCAGCTTCTGCAAGGGGTCGGGCGTCGTCCCGCTCCGGTGAGTTGAGCCTACCAGGTGAACCAGTTGTTTCCATTGGTGGCGGTCTTGTGCCAGCTGTTCCTGCATTCACCACAGTAACTCCAAAATGTTGAATGTCGGCCGCTACAACGTCGAGCTATCGAGTGCAAGGTTTACCTCATGGTCGTCTCCAAACTGCAGAATGGCTCTGGTCGGATGGTTGAAGGGAAGGCAGAGAACATGGCCGAGGCAGCGGGTGCGGCATTGCGCTGCCAGGCATGATGCGCTTGGCTGACATGTGCGTTCTCTTAGCACATGGTTGGAGATCCGCTGGGGCCACCTGATGTTCTCAATGGTTCTATCAAAGCCATTAATTCTTGCAGCCAGAGTCTTGTTAAAGGGCAGGTCTCCGAGCCATACAGCAGGATGGAGATTACGACGAAGTTGTAAATATGGAGTTTTGTCTTGCGAGATGGTCTGGTGTCGCCATAGTGGTTTCCTGAGACTGTAGAGCCGATCTTCTGCGACTGATTGCTAGTTTCAGGTCTCCATTGTCTGTCACTAAGGAGCCCAGATAAACAAAGTTCTTGACAGGCTCCGTGATGTCGTTACCAAGGTATATTGGGGTGGATCTGGTCAGTCTCCAACATGCATGAACTTGGTTTTGGGCCAGCTCATTTGGAGGCCGAGCTTCTCTGCCTCTTCCTTGTAGATAACCAGAGCATCACTCAGTTCGCTGTGGGTTGTGCTGAGCAAGATGCTGTTGTTGTTATACTCCAGGTCAGTCAGGTGGTCACTGCTTAAGGTAACTTTGGAGATCCGTTTGCCGACCTTGCACATAAGATGGTTGATGAAGCAACTGGAGAGGTCAGGGGTGGCCACGCAGCCCTGACGGATGCCACTGGAGATGGAAAACCAGTCAGAGTGTCTGCTGTTGATGCAGATGAAGTTCTGCGCGTTGCTGTAGAGACATTTGAACAGGGCTACGATCTTGGGTGGTGCTCCAAGGGCTTGTAGGGCACGCCAGAGTGAGGTGTGGCAGGCGGAATTCATAGCTCTTCTCTATCAGTAGGCGAACGGCGGAGATGTGGACCATTGTGGACCAGTTGGGCATAAAAGCAGCCTGCTGGGGGCGGCGGCTGCACCTGATAGCTGGCAGGGCACAGGTGAGAAAAATACTGGTAAAGAGTTTTCTGGGGATGGAGAGAAGTGTGATGCCTCTGTGGTTGCTGCAGGTCACTCTGTCCCCCCTGTTTCCACAAGGGTAGTATGACCCCTCTGGTTCAGTCAAGGGAAGTGTCTCAAGTTTCCCACGCCAGACTGAATATGTGGATAAGCAACTCGACAATGCCGTCACCGCCTGATTTGAACATTTTGACGGTTATTGCACAAATGCCGGGGGCTTTTGTTGCTACGTTATTTCAGAGCTGCTCTGACTTCCTCATGTGTTATGAGGTCTGTGCTAAAGGCGTCGCAGGGGGCTGCAGCGTTGGCGTTTACACACACATATATATAATATTCACACATCTCAACAAATCCCAAAAGCGTTCCCTTTCACCACCAAATGGATCCTGAGTGCAGCGGTGTCTGCAGCTCACCGCTCCCCCACAGAATGGGTCAAATGCGGAGAACAAATTTTGCACACACATCAGTGTGTGTGACAACTGATGGGACTTTTACTTTTGTTTTAAAATGAGACAAAAAGTAACAAAATAGACCTTGTGGATACAAAAGTATACTCAATAAATTGTGGGAATTTTCCTTTTGAGCAGATTTCTCAAGAAAGGCCCAGGGCCGACTGAATAAAACCCAACACTGTCTTGTCTGGTCTGGTTCTGGTTCTTGGCCCACCTGTAAGCAGAAACAGGACGGTGTAGTGTTTCCTGTTGGCGGCCTGGACCCTCTGAACCTTCAGGCGGCTGTAGGCGTGTCTGGAGGTCTCCATCGTCAGACGCCTCCCATGGGGACGAACGCTGCCTTCTGCCAGGAAGTTCTCTTTGACAAAGCGCAGCACATTATCTGAGGCGTTGTGCAGGCCACACTAGAACACCAACATAAGGAGTTACACAGGAGTGTGAACATCTGCACCTGAACAGGTCCTCCAGATGCCGTTTGCCTAAGCCACACCCAGAGCTGTTAGACAAACAGTTACCTCTCCAGGATTGGCGATTTTCTCCTGGACCCAGGTGCTCCACTGTAATGTTTCCCGATTTAGAACCTTGTAGTTTCCGGAGAAGACGGATTTTATGTCTGTCAGGCTGAAGGAACACACTGCTGAGCGTCCAGAGTTCACAGCCCTGCTCAGCAGAAAACACAGTGAGTAAAGACAGCTCAGGACAACCCCGTCCTCAGATCCGACCCAGTCCAACACCGTGATCCAGGCCCTGTGGCTCGTTCCAGATCAGCTCCCTTCACCTGATTTAAGTCTTTATGAAGATGAGGAGCAGTTTTAGACAAATACCATACCATACCACTTTATTAGATTTAGCACATTTAAACACAGCATGCAAGCCGACCAAAGCGCTGCACAGCCAATAACCATAAATACAGAAAACCAGAACGTTTCTGGAAATCCTGATGCAGCTGTTGCCATGGTTACAGCGAGAAAAAACAACTATGTGAACTCGCAACAGAGAGCAGAGCTTACAGTGCCAAGCAGCCATGTGACCATGAGACCTGGAGAAGCAGCTGCAGATGGTTCCACCAAGTTCTGTTTGAATAATGGAATAATTTTAAGGCTTTTTATTCTATCTACAAAGCTGTGGAAGCACTTACGGGAAAACAAAGACATGCCAAAGAGTCTAGTCTTCACCAAATGAAAACTAAACATTTATCACAAATCACGTGGATCACGACCTCTCATTACCTAATATTTGGACATCTCGCCTCTGACTGGCTAATAGTGACCACTGACTCTGTCAGCTTTGCAACACTGCAAATAACACAAGCTGGAAGGAGTTCTGCCGTGTAGTGGAGTCGCTAATGCTAATGGTTAGCTTCTACTAGCAGACACGTTCTCTGAGATAGATGTAGGAGACTATTTTCATGATCAGCCTGCATGAAAAACCCAGAGTGACTGATATTATCAGAAATAATAATTTAAAAACATTTTTCAGGGAACTACACCTTTAAATTAAAATGATTTGAATTAAAGGCTTAAAAATAATCTTCCAATGAACCTCTTTAATGGTTCTAATAAGTTGTTACAGGAGCAGAAAACAGCCTTATCCAGTTTTACCAAAGATCTGGGGTGTTTCTCAATGCCAAGGAACCTCGCCTTATGTCTTGGCCCTGCCCCGGTTGCCTAAGAGGTACATCATCAGGAACCGCCAAGACGCATTCCAATGTTCATGTTCTACCAAGGCGTGTGTTCTCCGTTTGTTAGCCGTTTAGCTACCTGAGCAAGGATACACGGGAGGTGTCTTGCAGCCAAGCCTTGGTCAGAAATTTCCCAGAATACACCACAGTATTCTCAAAAGGATGGCGGATCAGTAGCTGGCAGCTACTTCAGGGGTAAATTTCAAGCTTAAAAATAAGTCAACTAATTTAAAATGTTTTTTTTTTAGATCCAAATAAGTTAGCTACAGTGATCCCTCGCTACTTTGCGGTTCGTTTATTGCGGATTCACGACTTCGCAGATTTTTCTTTGGAGCCTTATTCAAGGGAAATTCGCCGATTCGCGTTATTTTTCACCGATTCGCGGTATTTTTCTATGCGAAATATCAAGAAATTCCTGTTTTTTTCATCAATTTCATCATAAAATGTACATTAAAGGGTGGTTTGTTAACAGTACTATGTAAAGGGAGGGTTTTAAAAGTCTGGATACTGTACGTACCTGTTAAATAAATACTGTAAATATGGTGTCCCTACTTCGCGGATTTTCACCTATCGCGGCCAGGTCTGGAACGCATCTACCGCGATAAATGAGGGATCACTGTATTAGGGATGAGCGAGTACACCACTATCTGTATCTGTATCTGTACTCGGAGCAGGCGTGGCCTAACCCAGAAGTGGGTGTAGTTTAACCGGAAGTGGACGTGGTTTACATCAATACATTATTTTAAATCTGAAATTGATATGGATTGATCAGAAGTTGCTATGTGTTATTGTTTATTTGAAAACTATTTACAGAGCAGCCTCAGAATTGAGATTAAATATTTTTATCACAATAGTAAAGGAACTATTACAGAACAAGTTTTTCAATAAAATCAGAACATTCATATTTAAGTGCATGAATTAATCTAGAGAGAGAGAGAGAGAGAACCCGAGCGAAGCGGAGGCAGACCGACGCATCACAAGCAGTTTTCAGCTCTGTCTTGTCAAACGCACCACATACAATACAAAAAAGTAACTTTAAATATTAAACCGAAAATGAGGCGAGCTGAAGAAAACCTAGGGAGTACAGAAGAAACGTGAGCAACAGTGAAGCACAGAGAGATCCGTTACTGTCTGTGTGTGTGCGTGCCGTGGATGGGACGGATGGGGATGGGTACCGAATTCGGTACTTTTTAAGGTACCGACCGAATTCCACAGTACCGACCGAGCACCGATTCACTTCATTTGAAACGGTGCCTCGTTTCGGTACCCGTCCTTCACAACGAGAACTTGCCAAGACAGCTGCGCATACGCAAGAGCGTTATGTCATCGGTCGCTGCGAGCGAGTTGTAAACAGAGCAGCATGGTAGAACGAACGCTAAAGCTTGGGTCCACTTCACTAAATGTGATGGGTAACTGGGTGATGATGAAACCAGCGACAGACAACGATCTAAGTGAGACATCCTCATCTTAATCTGCTCCGGTAGGTAAATAAAATGTTTAAGATAACGTTAGCTTGATATGTTAGCTTCAGTTTCGTTAATGGTGCGTTTGCTTTCTCCTCGGAACTCTGAATTTCCGAGTAGAAGAACATGAACGTGCTCTAAAGTTTGGCTTCACTTTACTAAATGCGACGGGTGATTGGGTAAAGACGAAACCAGTGACAACGATCTAAGTGTGAGGCATTATCGTTTTAATCTGCTCCAGCAGTTAAATAAACTGTTTAAGATAACGTTAGCTTGATATGTTAGCTTCCTATGCCACCGTTGTTATCAGCTAATGGTGCGTTCGCTTTCTCCTCAGAAATTCTAACTTCCCAGTAGGAAAAATCAATTGAAAAAGGACGGTAAAAGGAATGAAGATACACAGTAAATTTAGTTCACAGTAAAGATGTTTGCTTCAGTTTAATTATCAGCTTATAAAACTACAAGGACGATGTTAAAATACAAACAGTTGTATGCTATTTATCGTGATTTTTATCAAATATGGTTATAAATTGAGAAAAATATATATCTAATTATAAAAGAGAATTAAAATACTAAACACTCAAAAGTATCGAAAATTGGTACCGTTAAGTACCGGTATCGATTCGTACGTACCGGGAATTAGTACCGGATCGATTCAAATGTCAAAGGTACCCATCCCTAGGGACGGATGGACTGAGCTCCCGGTTACAGAGTTTTATGTGTAGAGAGGGGCGGGCGCTCAGTGTGACTGGCCAATCACAGAGCATGAAGACAGTGAGTTACCCACTGAGGATTTTCCTTCAGCACGATTACAGTTATTTACTAGTTTTACTCGTTTCATGCTTGTATTAATCAAAAATGCTTTATCTGTACCGGATACTCGTCTGAAACATCCCTATTAGCTATGGTTGGTTAGTTGCTTAGTAGTTGCAGCTTCGGTGGCTAGCGGGTAGTAACTCACTTATATATTTAATCAAACAAATATATACACAATTTAAAAAGTAAAAGGCTTGTTGTATATTCATATTGAAACTTATATGTATAAAATATAACGTTATCTCCTGTGTCACGTGATGTAAGTCTGTTCCATTTAACTGTTCTTTGACCAAGGAAGGACAGTGTCCTCGTAAGCAAGGAGCCTGGCCTCGCAAGACATCGCCTCGGAAGGCCAGGCGCCTTGACACTGAGAAACACCCCCTGACTTCTGCACGTTTCTGAAGGAGTCGTGACTGACCACTGGGAGGTGAAGATCCCGTAAAACACAGTTTCATCTGCAGGATCGCCCTCTGCTGGTGGGAGGATGACAATATCCTGGATGACGTTGTAGGGCAGCTCAGTGCCAGCCTGACACAACAGCTGAGCTTTGGCAAACGTGGTCCATCGTCTCTGCAGAGTCCGCTGACCTCCGACATCACTCTGATGCACACAGGACAAAACAATTATCATGAACCAATCACAGATTCATCACCAAACATAGCTCTAGCAACTTCAAACCTGACCGTGCAGATCTGAGAGACCCGGGACACAATAAACTTGTCTATGAAGTTGTATTCTCGGCCCACTTCTCTGAAGAAAAAGTAGATCTTCTCGTCATGTGGGATGAAGATGGAGCTGATAAAAGTGGGATCTACAGAGACCAGGAAACAGAAAGAAGAACAATACATCAATAAAGATACAAGAGTCCATCTGTAGAGCCCAACCCTAACAGGGAGTCGGAGGGCAAGGAGGTAAAGCTGTGGAACTGCAGTAACTACAAGAAAACTATGAAGTCCGGAGACTAAAACCTGGATCCTGCAAGTCCAACCCACTCACCCTCCAGCCACCCTAAAGCGTCGTCCAACTTCATGTCCACCCGGCTGCTCTCACTGAGGTGTCTGGAGATGACGGGTCGGTTCCCCCTGTAGTCCGCCATGGTGGCTGTGTAAAGTTCTCCATCTGAAACAAGAGATCAAAGCTCAAAACTGGGTCCAGTAGAACAGAACCACCAAGTATGTTAGTGATGGAATTCAGGATGATCATAAATCCTGTTTGTTCAACAAGTTAGTTCATTCATGACACCGACTTCCAGATGAAGTCCCACCTTACTCCTGGTACTGGTCCTGGCCTTATTGTTTATGATTCCATCGTTCTAATGATGGCCTTTAGTTTGTAAAGCAGCTCGTACAGTAAGGCCAAATGATACGATGGGCATTATGGGCACTGGTCCAAGGGCCACACCCACTACACACAAACTGATCTCAACTGATTCATAAACATTCTGAATTTCCCATCAGGGCTTGGTTTGTCTAAAGGTTTAATCCAGATAAAATTGATCCGGATTTTGTAATCCTTTATTTTTTGCGATCTGTGATCCAGTTTACTTTGGAGCCAGTTTTTCAAAGCAACATCGGACTTGTTCAATCTGATGCGGATAGGAATTTTTCAGGATCAGCAAATCTGGATAACCAGCTCAAACAGGATACGAAATCACAATGTAGAACTCTAGATATGTAAAGAGCAACAAGTAGAATAGCCAGTGTGGGGTAAGTTTATTTTTATTTGAAACGACAACACACATGGCTGCGCAGTGGCGCAGTGGTTAGAGCTGTTGCCTTGCAGCAAGAAGGTCCTGGGTTCGATTCCCGGCCTGGGATCTTTCTGCATGTTTGCATGTTCTCCCTGTGCATGCGTGGGTTCTCTCCGGGTACTCCGGCTTCCTCCCACCGTCCACCGTCCAAAAACATGACTGTTAGGTTGGTCTGTCTAAATCGTCCTTAGGTGTGAGTGTGTGTGTCCATGGTTGTTTGTCCTGTGTGTCTCTGTGTTGCCCTGCGATGGACTGGCTCTCTGTCCTGTGTGTACCCCGCCTGATTGCCTATTGACTGCTGGAGATAGGCACCGGCCCCCCCGCGACCCTACATGGACAAGCGGGTTCAGACAGTGGATGGATGGATGAAAACACACACATTTAAAAAAACTAAAAACAAGGAAAACCCCACCCTTGCTCTTCCAGCAGTCTGCTCATCTGAGACCTACAACACAAACACTGTATGAGGATATTTGTTTAAAAAAAGACTTAATATCAAGTACTCCACAATAATTTCAGACTTCCTCATCTGATGTGGACAGACCAGCTTGTTTGAGCGTAGCCTTTAGGAGGCGGAGCTCAAGTCTGGCCTTGGTTTGCATTGTTTTGGTTATTCTGTAATCATTGCATGCATCACTAATAAATATTCTAAAAACAACAATATTTTCAAATGTTATTAATATATATATATATATATATATATATATATATATATAAAATTTTAGTGACAGAATAGAATTTATTGTTTTTGGTGAATTTTGACAGCTGTTTGGGGGATTATTTTATGAGACCATACTCTTTCTACTTTGCTGTAGGCCTGTACTGAAAGGCTGAATGCGTTAAAGCCTACCTAATTACTGTAGCCTGACGGAAGAACAAATAGAATTAAAATCTCATGAATAAATAGGATATCTTGTAAAATACTGCATGATCCAAATATAGTATTATTTAATACATTTGGGAAGTTTTCATTACATTTTGGGCATGAAACCCACGATGAATCCACCCTTCTGATGGGATCAGTTTAATCCAGATTTTTTGGATCAAAGTGATCCATATCCTACAAAAAGTTCTGAAAAACCCAAACTAAAGGTTTGATCCAAATCAAAACCAAGATTGGATTACGTGACGCAATCCGATTATGTAATCCGTTTTTTCTTTTGAAAAACCCATTTTCAAGATTTAATCCAATCCGTTATCCAAAATCCTAGTGGATTACTTTTGAAAAACTGGGCCCTGGACTGAAAGTTACATGGGAAATCTCACAGAACCTCTGGAGATCAAACGTGACTTTGTAAAAAAACATACACGCCGAGGAAGGAGCGTGCAGTGAGCTTCGGTCACCTCGCTTTCTGTGTGGCTACGAGCAGCACGCTCATCTGTTGACAAAATCAGGCCAAGACAGTCCAAGCTCAGAGTAGCTCTTCCTCCAGCAGGAAGTTCTTGTTTCTGCCGATACAACTGTGATGTGGATCGACCGGCTATAACAAGTACCTATCTAATAATCCTAATACCTTCAAGCAGCAGGAACAGAGCTAACAAAGGAGCTAAACATGTTCATAGTTAGCTAGGGAGTCCTCTCAGGTGGAGGAACAAGAAAAATTCAACAGTCTGAGGAGGGCCAGCTGACATTATAGGTCCACATGTCTCTGAGCTCATTTCAATTTTATACAGAAAATGTGATTAAACAGCTGGAAGGAAGCGGTGCCCACAAATCCCACAAAACATCATGACTAACAGTAAAAAGATGTTCTGCTACATGCTGACAGCAGGCAGTAAGGCCTTACCCACGACGATGGCAGTGTTACGCTGGTAGGGGTCATACGGGCAGCGACCTCTGCCCTCTTCGGTACTGGGGTCCATCTTCAATGTGTCCAAGTGCTGGGTGGAGGCGAGGAAGCATGTTAAACCAACAAGACACTTCCTGTTTCTGCTGCTGTAACAGTAACATGGTGACTAAGGCTGCAGTCACATCATCAGTGTGTTGAATATCAATTTCACACAGAAAAATCCATGTTTTGGAGCTCAGTGGTGGGACAGAAGCTACGGTTGTCTTTCAAACTGTCTCCGCATGCGATTGGAAAAGCACACGGACCAATTACAGCAACAAACACCTTCATCGCTACAGAAATCAGTCAACGGGGCCATATACCATCAAAGGAGACACAAATACATCCTTTCTCTAAATAAAGGACTTAAGTGCTTCTATCTGCTCATGTTTCAAAGAAAAGCCCAAGTCGTAATCATCCAAAGTTGATGCCAAAGCTGTTTTTAAACCAGCGCCATTCCCGAGCCGACGCCACCTTTGTAGTTTTTCTCCATTGCAGCACTGGTGCTAAACCCGCCCAGTGTCTCCCTACAGACAGAGAGCACTGTGATTGGCAAGGCCTAAACTTCGCCAAGTCATTGTTAGACCTGATGAGACTACAATAGAGCATGTCATCAAATCACAACATGCCCTATAGGTTATAAATTGTAAGTCGCTTTGGATAAAAGCGTCTGCTAAAATGAATAAACAATAAACAATAAACAAGTCTGGACTGACCTACAGAGCAAAATCTTTTGCTACAGCTACGGTTTGCTCAGATTTATACGCTACAAGGCTGCAGGAAAGTCTGTAACTACAAGGAAATCAGAGCTGACTTCAAACTTCTGCTCTAACATAATTTAAAATGAATGATGTAAATACTCCCAGGTTTTTGGGCTGGGCGAAGCCTGCTGACGTTAACACTCCCTAACCACACCTCTGGTGTGAGTTATTCAAGATGGCCGCCACAGTTAATCAACGGCCCATTCCCAGTACTCACACTTCCACCTTCAATCGTGTGATCCCAGCCAGTGGTGCGAGTGCGCAGGGTGTCCCGATTGTCAAGTGCAAAAGTTGATCACGCCTCTTTTGCACCTTCGATCCACACTAATGTGGACTTGGGTGAAGGGTATTACCCACAATCCATTGTTGTGGGAGGAAGGGCTCAAGTGCCTTTTCTGAAAATATGTATTTCAAATAAAAGCCGTTCATTTTAGGACGATTAACTGATGCTTGGAATGTTTTAGACAAAGCAGTAATGGACGTAAATGTTGTCAAATAATTGTTTGGTTGTTTATTTGAAAGTTGTTAATAAAGGTTTTTTTAAAAAGTAGCACAGCGACCAGCATCCTGGCTTGATTTGCGTTCGATGACACAATGCTCCCTGTCCTAATTCTGCGATTATTTGCACACTTGTGTACCACACACTCGAAGCCTTCAAGCGCACTTCCTCCAAGTGCACTTCACAGAAGACCGTAGGGTGCAGTGAGTGTTGGGATTGGGCCAACATCTCTGACGCCGTTCACTGATAATGAACGAAGAGCTCAGGAGTTAGTAACTGAGATTCACTCATCACAATGATAAAAAACAGATCAATACCTGAAAAACCAGAATATAATCATTTATCAACACCAGATGATGTCACTTTAACCCCTCATAGACCACCGTCACTAATACACATCAAACCCATTCAGACCATAAGGCATCAGGATTAGTACCTTCATCAGAAAGCTGCCATATCTAGTCCTGTACATGTCCACTGTCCCCTGGTGGAGGATCTACAGGTGGTAAGAGCCAACTATGTCTGTTGTATGTAGATTTACACTAAAATAAAACTTGTTTGTTTTAATGTTAACATTAGACAGTAGATAGTTCAGTTATTTATTACTATTATTATGTTCTCAGTGGCCTAGTGGTAGAGTGTCTTACCTAGGACTGGGAGATCAGGGTTCAAATCCCGGTCAAGTCATACCAAAGACTTTCAAAACGGGGACCAATGTCTCCCTGCTTGACACTCAGCATCAAGGGGTTGGACTGGGGGGGGGGGGTTGAACCACCAAATGGTTCCCGAGCACAGCTGCTGCTGCAGCTCACCGCTCCCCACAGGGAAGGGTCACATGCGTAGATGTAGTTTCACCAGTGTGTGATGATGACTTTAACTTTATTTAATATTTCAGGGGTCAGAACGGTGACTTTAGGGGTCACTAACAGAGTGGGACACAGTAGAAAGCTTACGATGTAGGTGCAGTGTGGGCTGAAGGCGAAGGTCCCACAGGTGTAAAGGTGGGTGGAGTTTAAGAACTGAAGCACACGGATAAAGTTATGGCAGTCTGCCTGGAGAGAAAAGAAAAATAAATATCAGTTCATGAGAGTAGTCAACAAAACTGGCCTGCATTTGATATAGCACCTTCTAGAGTCCTAGATCCCCCCCAAGGTCCTTTACAACGCCAACAATCATTCACACACTAGTGGAGATGAGCTATGTTGTAGCCACAGCTGCTTTGGGGCGCCCTGACAGAGGCAGGGCCAAACCTGGGATCAGTTTGGGGTGTTTGAAAATGTTCACTCACTTTTTTCTTGCCCTTCATAGAACACTGTTCCAGGTCTTTGTCTGAGGGACTCCAGTCCAGCTGAAATAAAGAGAGAAGACTGTTTCCAGCAAAGGTCACAGAGGTCAGTCAGAACAACCTGGATTTCCGCCTGCGTAAAAATGGTGAAGGGTGAATTTATTCATGAAAATGGCAGGACTGGGGAGGCCATTTTCAATGCGAGGAGAAATAGCAGAGGAGTTCGATGTATCACTAAACGATTATGTTATGAAATCTGCTCTTGATGGACACAATGGTTCCATCCCCGATCCCCCAGCTCACCTTCTTCCTCAGTGTGATGACGTCCTCGCTGCCAACATCCAGGGCAAACACAGCATTGCAAGCTCCTACGTACAGCGTTTCTTCATCTTCACTGAGAAGCAGCGTGGTGGTGTTGCTGACTTCATGACTACTGAAGAAGGTGAGGCGTCTGCCAGAACTCCCTGTTGGGACAGTACCAGGCGACATCATGGTGGATGCTTAAAGCTACCGTCTGACACCTTCACTCACCATAGAAAGTTTGACCAGGAGAAGAAGGAAATGAGGGGCTTTCAGGTTTCGTGGGTCAGCTAATTTTTGATTTGCACATTTAGACTCAGGCTGAGGTTGCTGCGTTGCTTCTGACTCGGATAAACCAGTATAATAACTGGAATAGTAACACTCCCCTTACTGACCAGCGTGATGGACGACACACACTCTGCTAACACTTCAACTAAAAAAAAAACGAGCATGGCGGAAGTCGAGTCCACCACTCCAGGTGAGCAAAAACATGTTAAAAACAAGCCAAATCTGACAAACAACCAACTATAATATAATAAACACAACATTCTCGTAACCTTACTTAGAAAGCATGAAGGTCTTGTTGACCATAGAGTAGGTGGAGCTTCACTCACCTGTAAGGAAGGACAGCCGAGGAGTTGGTCCAGACATGCAGCGGCCCATTAAACCCAGCAGAACCACCATAAGCGTCAAGAAGCTGAGGCTGTCCATTGGATCATTAATGAGGTTAATAGACCTCAGGTGTGTGTAGGGTCAGGGGTCAGAGGTCAGAGGACAGGCTCTGGGTCTGAAGCTAACTCTCCATCCTCAGGCTTGACCTGAAACAGAATCCATCACTAACTCAGTCCATTAAACCTCTCCAACCCTAACCCATGTTTACTCATTAGCCCCAGGTAAACGACTGAATCTGCTTTGAAGTGGAAGTGGTAGCAGCCGGCTGTTTCTCCTTCTTTGATATATTGAAAGGAGAACCTCACACCAGTGTTGTGCTGTTGCTAAGTGCATGAGTGCGTAATGAATGGACGGCCCAGGAAAGCATGGTGGTTCAGCGAGACCGACAACCGGATAGTTGCTTTCGGTCCAATGTCTGATTTTTTTAGACAACTGCGAGAGAGCCACCCTTTTTCAGTCTTTCTTTAAGGACCAAAGTGCAGGTTAAAATATATTTTTTAATTCATATAAAATGCTGTCCAAAAATACTATTTAAAAAGCTTATTGTGGATAGTAAGGTTTGGTTTTAAAATGCATAACAGCAGAGTTTTTCTAGTAGAACGTGACCTTTCTCAGCAAAGCTTTTTTCTACACGTGAACCTCTGATGTAACCAAAGGGAGTTAGAAGCTAGGCTGCCTCAGCTCAGTGTGGAGAGTGGCCAGTTTTAGGGTAGAAAGGTCATGTTATCCAGTCAGTGTGTGTGTTTACTAGTGTTGGACTGTGTTCATTTTGGTTAACTGTAGTGTGTGAAGGCTGTACCAACTCCAGCCTGTCTGGACATCGAGTCCACGGGTTTCCAGACAACAGAAACAACGCCTCTATCTCCGTGCCGGAGGGTGTTTAGTGCAGCTGCAAAGACGGACTTCTGTAGCCCACATCGGTCTTTACCGGGACAGGGAGGTCCGCACTGGGCTACGGAGACCCGAGGCGGGGTTTAAAAAATTTAATGCGGATTTCTGGAACTCAGATCACCATCAGAACCAGGTCAGAACCAACCACCAGAAGAGATGCGTGGCTCAGCAGGCCAGCTGGTTTCCGGGTCGGAACCGGATCAGAACTGCCTGCCTGGACCACCAGGAGAGGATGCGCGGCTTTTAAAAATACCAGCTCGACTGTCTCGCTCGTGTTTGGGTCAAATCAAGCTCACATGAGCCCGCATGAGCTCCAGAACCGGATCACAGGTGTCTCTCTCTCTCAGTTCGGCGGACCAGCCGAGCAAGCTTTCTGGGTCGGAACCAGATCAGAACCACCGTGGACCTCTAGGGAAGGATTGTGTGCAGCTTTTAAAAATATCAGTTCAGCTGGCTTGCTGGTGTCTGGGTCGGATCCAGCTCACAGAAGCCCGCATGAGCTCCAGAACCAGATGACAGGCTCTTGCTCTCTCTAAGGCCTAGTCCACACGTAGCCGGGTTTTTAAAAAAACTAATATCCGCCCCTCCAAAAACTTGCATCCACACCACCTTGTTTAAAAACAAACTCTGTCCACACGTACCCGGATAAATACGTTGTTAAGGACATGCCAGACCTGTAGGCGGCAGTACTTCCCCTGCTCTTAACCTCGTCCTTCGTCTGTGGTCTTCCACAAGGAGCAGTAATTCCGCTTGCAAAAACAAACAAGCAAAAAGCGCTTGGACAATTGATAAAGCGAGCGCAGCTCTGAGGGCATCCATGCTGTCGGCTAGTGTAAACACAGGTCGCACACGTGATGTCAGCAATTTTTGTCGCGGAAAGGGACGTTGCGGACCTTAAAACTCCGGTTTTGTCCGTCCACACGGAGAAAACCCAGATCTTCACTTTGGCCGGAGTTTTTAAAAAGATCAGTTTTCGTGTGGATGACAGGCCAAAACATAGAAAAATATCTACGTTTTGGCAGATCCCCGGCTACGTGTGGACAGGGCCTAAGCTAAACTATGATACATGAACGGATATTAGCGAGTATGAGACAGCTGACAGACGCTCATTAGTATTAATATTATATTAACTGACCGATACTATTTTAATTGTCTGATACATGATAGTAATCAGTACAATATTGTGATGTTAGCACACGAGTTTAAGCTAACATGGTTAACTCACCAGACACCTGCTGCCCCCTCGCTAATGCTCCTCCTTTATCTCTCTGCTTTGACCGATGGTTTCTCCCTCTGGTTTGTCTCTGCCCTCTGGGGCGTGCAGCAAACTCATAACTTCATGGTTTTGGTCCATCATGAGTATAACTGTAAACATTTAAAGTTTCCTCTGTGTCAGCGCCGGCATTATAACCTATATTTTCCACTGGATTAAAGCTAACAGGACTCCCTCACATGATGTCACTTGGTTTGGCCAAAAAATGAAAAACGTTCTCACAAAAATGACTCTAAAAGCCTAAATAATTTATGTATGTGTAAAAAATGTTTCAAATGAGTTTCTATTCGGTTTCTCTAAACATGGGTTCATGGGAGTCTCTAACCTGCAATTTGCTCTTTAAATCTTAACAATATATTTAAATTTATACTGTGTTAGAATGTTGTTAAGCGGTATGAAAACATGTTTGAAGCTGTTTTGTTTTCCAAATTTAATATCACAGCTTTAACTTATAGACTTGTTTACAAATAGATTTTCTTTATCAGCAAATGTGTGTGTGTGTGTGTGTGTGTGTGTGTGTGTGTGTGTGTGTGTGTGTGTGTGTGTGTGTGTGTGTGTGTGTGTGTGTGTGTGTGTGTGTGTGTGTGTGTGTGTGTGTGTGTGTGTGTGTGTGTGTGGACAGTCAGTGCAGCTGAAGCAACAAACAGACCAAACACACATCTGGACATTTCTGAAAGACAAAAGAACTCAGAAGACCTCTCAGACCACCTGAGGACATGAATGAATGACGACGGTTGATAAAAGGGATCAGAACGTATCTGTATGGGTCTGATGAACACCGGGGCTGTCTCATGTTTAGATGGACCCTTAAACATATAGTTGTGTTGAAGAGACTTTATAAGCAGGGAAGAGCAGCAGATAACAGCTGAGTAACTTGACTTCACTCTGATTAATGGATTAATCCTAATTCTATCAGAAATATGAGCGTTAGCCCAGTCAGCTGCAGATAATCTGGAATAAGAGCTTTGTTTTTATTTAGGTCAGAGTTTTTACAAGCAACAGATTTGTTTTTGCTGCTTAACTGAATGTAAAAGCAGCAATGATGTCCCTCCATTCTCATTTCATCAGAACAAAGGAAGGAGATTCAAGGACTGTCCTCAAACAGGTCTTCATCTGGTACTCCAATGGATCAATACTGATAATATCCATCCTCTCATCCATCCATAGTCCACTCTTCCATCCACCATCCTCTCAACCATACCTCCATCATCCTCTCATCCATCTACCATCCTCTCATCCACTCATCCATCCATCCATCCATCATCCTCTCAACCATACCACCACACCATCCTCTCATCCATCCATCCATCCATCCATCATCCTCTCAACCATAACTCCATCATCCTCTCATCCATCTACCATCCTCTCATCCACTCATCCATCCATCCATCCATCATCCTCTCAACCATACCACCACACCATCCTCTCATCCATCCATCCATCCATCCATCCACCATCCTCTCAACCATACCTCCATCATCCTCTCATCCATCTACCATCCTCTCATCCACTCATCCATCCATCCATCCATCATCCTCTCAACCATACCACCACCATCCTCTCATCCATCCATCATCCACTCATCCATCCATCCATCATCCTGTCAACCATACCACCACCATCCTCTCATCCATCCATCATCCACTCATCCATCCATCCTCATCCTGTCAACCATACCACCACCATCCTCTCATCTATCCATCCACCATTCTCTCAACCATTCCTCCATTATCCTCTCATCCATCCACCATCCTCTCATCCATCCATCCATCCATCCATCATCCTCTCATCCATCCATCCACCATCCTCTCAACCATACCTCCATCATCCTCTCATCCATCCACCATCCTCTCATCCATCCATCCATCCATCATCCTCTCAACCATACCACCATCATCCACTCATCCACTCATCCATCCATCCATCATCCACTCTTCCATCCACCATCCTCTCAACCATACCTCCATCATCCTCTCATGCATCCACCACCCTCTCATCCATCCATCCATCATCCACTCATCCATCCATCCATCCATCATCCTCTCAACCATACCACCACCATCCACTCATCCATCCATCCAGCGTCCTCTCATCCATCCATCATCATTTCAACCATACCTTCATCATCTTCTCATCCATTCATCCATCCATTATTCACTCAACCATACCTTCATCATCTTCTCATCCATCCATCCAACATCCTCCTATCTATCTATCATCTATCTATCTATCTATCTATCTATCTATCTATCTATCTATCTATCTGTCTGTCTGTCTGTCTGTCTGTCTGTCTGTCTGTCTGTCTGTCTATCATCCATCCATCCATCCATCCATCTATCTATCTATCTATCTATCTATCTATCTATCTATCTATCTATCTATCTATCTATCTATCTATCTATCTATCTATCTATCTATCTATCTATCTATCTATCTATCTATCTATCTATCTATCTATCTATCTATCTATCATCTATCTATCTATCTATCTATCTATCTATCTATCTATCTATCTATCTATCTATCTATCGGAACCGTGCCGTTAACGATGATCTCCGTGAGAGTGACGTAAACACAGTGGAAGTGAAAAGCTCAGCATGAATGTTGGTGAATGAGTGAATGTGTGGGGGGCATCGCTGTGTGTGGTTTAAGTTCGTCTGATCGAACACGTGAGTTTAGCAGTTAACCACAGTACTTAAACGCACCACAGCCTTTAACCTGGTTATTACCGAGAGAGAGCAGCACCGTTTAACGTGAGGAAAAGCTAACTCTGAGCTGTCGGTGTTTAGTGAAACCAGCTGTAGCTTCTGTGAAACTCTTAGCCGGCTGAAACGTGTGAAAGGCGGTCAGTTGTCTGAGCAGGGCTCCTTACCGCTCCCGTTACCGCTCCGGTTTCTGTCCATCCTTCGTTAGCTGCGAAGTCGCTTTGTGTTTACCGGGAATGAGCACATCTGTGGGGGCTGTAGGGGAACCGGAAGTTGTCATAGAGAGAGACACCCCTGGAGAAGAACAACAACAGGTCTGCAATCTGCGGCTCCGGGGCCACCTTATGACCAGAAACACGAGTTCGAGTCCCGTAAAGACTCAGCTCCAGTTGGACCTGTACTTCCCGAGGGTGACGTCACTGCCTGGTTCTGCCAGGAGTCCAGGACCCAGAGTCAGGGCCCGGCATGGCTGTGTTTGGCTTACAGACATGTTTCATATAGTCTGGGAAGAAAAGTTCAGATGAACTCATCAAACCTTCTAAAATCTTCCTGGAGACCCAAGAACACAGAGAAGAACCTGGATTTACCCTGGTGAGATGGTCCAGATCCCTCACCCAGCATTTCTGCACCAATCCCAATAAAAATAATAATATCATCATTATTACTGTTTATTTTTATTTATTCTTTATTTAACCAGGAAGGTCCCATTGAGATTAAAAACCAAATTTTCAAAGGAGTCCTGGCCAACCTTCACCACCATGCAGCCCCAGCAGTGATCAATGAAACACTCAGAGAAGAGCTTTTAAACTTTAGTGTGACAGGGCGAGTATCCTGATTGATCATGCGGCCTTGCTGCTTGGCCACGGGGATGTCCCTTTGGCTGATTGGTCCTGGGTGTCATGGTCTGTGCTGAGTCTAATTCTGTGTTGTGCTGAGTTTTTTCTGTGTGCAGGTGGGTGTGCCTGGAGAGAAGCTGCTGCCTATCTGCTCATCAGTGGCCAGGGGATTTAAGGAGCATCGGGACAACTCATCAGTGCCGGATGATACTCAACATTGGGTAGAACTCGTGCCAGTACCTTGCCTGAGCTTCTCTTCCTCCAACCAAACCTCCACCATCTGAAAATAGACTCACCGGATTTCAACCCTGCCTGCCAGCCCGTCACTCGCCCCTGACCTCCTGCTCTCCTACCCCCACCTGCCAACCTGGACAACCCGAACTCTGGTGCTCAGCTCCCAGCCACACCTGACACTCACCCGACCAGCTCAGCCAGCCATGACTTGCCTCCCCCCTCTCTATGCCTTTACCAACAACCAGGAAACCGTAAGCTACTAACTCATATTCCTTACATGGTCAGTCTGCGAATACTCACTCCTGTCTCTGCTCTAGAACTCTACCGGAACCACCCGAACTCAGACCATCATCACCTCCCATCGTACATAAATAAACCTTTTTTTACATACTTTGTCTCAGTGTGTGATTCTGCATGTCGTGGGTCAAAAAGCTACAGCCCAACATGACACTGGGTTCGATTCCCGACCTGGGATCTTTCTGCATGGAGTTTGCATGTTCTCCCTGTGCATGCGTGGGTTCTCTCCGGGTACTCCGGCTTCCTCCCACAGTCCAAAAACATGACTGTTAGGTTGATTGGTGTGTCTAAATTGTCCTTAGGTGTGAGTGTGTGCGCATGATTGTTTGTCCTGTGTGTCTGTGTGTTACCCTGTGATGGACTGGCTCTCTGTCCAGGGTGTACCCTGCCTACTTGCCCGTTGACTGCGGGAGATAGGCACCAGCCCCCCCCGACCCTACGTGGACACAGCGGGTTCAGAAGATGGATGGATGGTTAGTGCCCGTGACTCTCACCCATGAGTCTGGGGATCAGATACCGCGCGGCCCGTGCCCTTGTTTCTCCACCAGACCACATTAGCATGTTAGCTAAATAAGCTATCTAGAACATATTGGTAAAATGGAGCTCTGTAAGCTGCCATAAGCTAGGGTGATCATATGTTTTCTTTCCCCCGGACATGTCCACTTTTCACTCTCTGTCCGGGGCGTCCTACATTGATCAAAATGTCCGGTTTTTCATCCAGGAGCAGGGATCGAGTTATGGCTAGATATATTTCTGGGAAAGATCCAGTTTCTGCCTATATTACAATATTTATGGACTCGCAACGTAGCGGGATTCTGTGGAGCGGAGACGACGCAGAGCGCTGATCGTTGGTGCGCCCGCTGCATCCGGCGCACGATACATTCTCAAGGTGGTGCAACAAAACATTACTATTAACTCATGATCGTTCCTATCTGTTTATATCATCTGGTACTCTGGTAGTCTTTTAATCGTTCCTGACGCGCTCCGCTCATCGTGTGCAGCTAAGCGCACTCCTCTTTGCGGTCAGGAGATCCCTTTGATCTGCTCAGAAGTAACTGATGAGGTGAAAAAGTAAGAATGCAGGCAGCAGTTTTTCTGGAGAATTTAGAGGAGATGCAGGAAGAGACAGACAGGACAGGAAAATAGTCACATAAAAACAAGAAAACAAAGCTAAATGTTTGAAAGTAAATCTGGGTATTTATCTCCACTACACATTTTTACCTGTATAAAACAATAAGTTACACACATGTCATATTTATACATCTGATACAATTCAGATCACCTTTAAAACTCAGTCACACACCCAGGGCCATTTAAAGGCATTTTGGGGGTCAAGGCAAAACGGAACCCCCCCATAACTGGGTTCCCCAAAAGCCTCTGTGTAATTCCTACCCTGTCCAGGAGTGTTAATTATACAGTGTTCGTAAAAACACCTCAGACATCACTGACATGTTCTAATATTGTCCGACGAAAAACAAAATTGTCGGACACGATGTCTCATCTGCTTCTTTTCTAAACTCACACAAATCTGTCAGTAACAAATCCATTTGAAAGCCACTATTTGTGGATTCTCTGAAAGTTCCCATGGAGTCCATGACAAACTTCTTTTTTTTCATTCACCATATCGTCTAATCTCACAGCTGAAACAAGCATCCTTGATAATCTGTGCACAGGCAGCTTACCGATGCTGTAGTAAAACAAAATGTATTATAATTTCTTATTACTATAATGTTGTTGCAGCACTAAAGCAGCAGAAAAATTTGATTTTGCAATTAATAAGCTAAATATTTACATACGAATTGTTTTAGAGCCTTTTTGTTGGCAGAAAATGATATTAATTTTACCTTTTCACCTGGGGAAAAATGAGTCCTAATGTGGTTTGTGTGGCATTGCCATAGTGTGACATCATCGGTAGGCACAGATCTGGTCACCCTACCATAAGCTAAAATATTTAGTTTGGGTTCCAGCGTGTAATCTGTGTGGGTTACCTGGTCTTCCTGGGGACGGTCTACTGGATCCTGATGTTCACCAGTGAGTCCCACCAGTTGTTTCAATGCGTTCTCTTACTAGAATGACCTGTGAACCCATCCTGCAGGCCCCGGAGAGGTTCCAGTCAGATGACTTCACAAGTTACTAAAACCTTGGCTCTTCCGACCTAAAGTCACCTCTACTTAGTCTTCATCCAGCTTCATCCTGACAGTAACAGCACAGTTTTAAAGTTTTGCAATGAATCTAACCTCAGATGGTGTGAGGTTTCAGCTACAGAGAAGAAGAACCCTTCGATAGAACTGATTTGTTAGCACGGCGAGACCTACACCTGGTAAGATGCTAAGCAGGAGAAATAAGCTTGCAGAGGATTAGCAGTGACCTGGAAATAGCCATGTGGTAACAGGTTGTGTGCCTCCTAGCGTCAAACATGAGGATGCTGACACATGGTGGAGCTGCCTCACGAAGCCTGTGTGAGAATGCAATGCTGTAGAGCTCAAAAGGTTAAAAGAGGTCAACAACATCATAGACCCATCCGGGATCCTTTGTTTCGGCTCCGATTTTTCATGAGATGCACTTAAAGATCTAAAATTCATTCCAGATACACAATATTACCATTTCTCACAAACGTTGTTCACAAATCAGTCTAAACGTGTGATAGTGAGCACCTGTGCTTTGCCGAGATAATCCATCCCACCTCACAGGTGTGCCACATCAAGATGCTGATCCGACATCATGAGTAGTGCACAGGTGTACCTTATACTGCCCACAATAAAAGGCCACCCTGGAATGTGCAGTTTTGTCTCACAGCAAAATGCCACAGATGCCACAAGCATTGAGGGAGCCTGCAATTGGCATGCTGACAGCAGGAATGTCAACAAGATCTGTTGCTCGTGCATTGAATGTTCATTTCTCCACCATAAGCTGTCTCCAAAGGCGTTTCAGAGAATATGGCAGTACATCCAACCGGCCTCACAGCCACAGACAATGTGTAACCACACCAGCCCAGGACCTCCACATCCAGCAGGTTCACCTCCAAGATCGTCTGAGACCAGCCACTCAGACAGCTGCTGAAACAATTGGTTTGCATAACCAAACAATTTCTGCACAAACTGTCAGAAATCGTCTCAGGGAAGCTCAACTGCATGCTCGTCGTCCTCATCGGGGTCTTGACCTGACTCCAGCTAGTCGCCGTAACAGACTTGAGTGGGCAAATGCTCACATTTGATGGCGTCTGGCACATTGGAGAGGTGTTTTCTTCACGGATGAATCTCGGTTTACATTGTTCAGGGCAGATGGCAGATAGCGTGTGTGGCGTCGTGAGGGTGAGCGCTTTGCTGATGTCAATGTTGTGGATCGAGTGGCCTATGGTGGTGGTGGGGTTATGGTATGGGCAGGCATCTGTTATGGATGAAGAACACAGGTGCATTTTATTGATGGCATTTTGAATGCACAGGGATACCGTGATGAGATCCTGAGGCCCATTGTTGTGCCGTACATCCATGAACATCACCTCATGTTTCAGCAAGATAATGCACGGCCCCATGTGCTTGACCGGAGTGCACGACAGCGTGTACCAGTTCCCACTAATATCCAACAACTTCGCACAGCCATTGAAGTGGAGTGGACCAACATTCCACAGGCCACAATTGACAATCTGATAAACTCTATGTGAAGATGATGTGTTGCACTGCATGAGGCAAATGGTGGTCCCAGACCCCCAGTAAAGCAAAAAACTGCACATTCCAGGGTGGCCTTTTATTGTGGGCAGTATAAGGTACACCTGTGCACTATTCATGATGTCAGATCAGCATCTTGATGTGGCACACCTGTGAGGTGGGATGGATTATCTCAGCAAAGCAGAAGTGCTCACTATCACACATTTAAACTGATTTGTGAACAATGTTTGTGAGAAATGGTAATATTGTGTATCTGGAATGAATTTTAGATCTTTAAGTCCATCTCATGAAAAATCGAAGCAGAAACAAAGGTGTTGCATTTATATTTTTGTTGAGTGTATAATCACAGATAAAGACCTATTTGTGGAGTGAGGGAAACCCATTGCTGTGTCTCATGAAGCTCCCTAACCTACTGGATTTTGTTTTATGTCTTTGAGGGTCTGCTGGCATCTCCTGTTTACGTTCTTGTTCTAATTCTCTCTGGTGTCAGCTAGAATTCATTACAGGTTCAAATAGAACATAGATCTGATGTGTTTCTTTACTTTATGTTAAGTGCATAAAGCCAAAGGTTTAATCTTAATCTGGTTTACATTCTGATATTTCTGATTTAGGTTTAAAAATGTTCTTGGTCTTTTTCTAAACTCAACTAAATGTTGAAACTTGAACAACAACTAAAAAGCAGATCATTTCTTCCATTGCAAACAAATGTTGCCGTAGATTAAAAAGTATAATCTGCGCATCTGCTTTATTTAACTCTATGTTAATACAATTAAATACTTTAAAGTTTTCAAACAACAAAAGTTTAAAAATCATCAAAATTTCATGTCAAACTAAAATGTAATAAAACCTTAAAACTGTAGATTTTGACTTGTTTCACTAAGACATTACTCTTTTGTATCCCACTCAAACTATATTTATAGCAAACTGCGAACTTATTAATAAAAGTAATAATAACAATAATGATGATGATGATGATGATGATGATGATGATGATGATGATGATGATGATGGTGACGGAGCTAGCACATCCATGGAGCTAGTACGTTCTTGCCATGTCCGCATGAGTTTTTCCAGGTACTTTGGCTTCCTCCCATGGATAAAAAAAAACTTGGTTAATTGGAGGTCTGTCCAAGGTGTCCCACACCTCTCACCAGAGGACTGATGGAGGTCTCAGTTGGGACCTTAGTGAGGAATAAGCGATCACTTTCTTGTCAAGTCACTTTTGAATGTTTGCTCTGCAACATTGATGTTTTACCTCCACAAATAACACAAGCCTGAAGGAGTTATGCTGTGTGGTGGAGTTTCTAATGCTAACGGTTAACTTCTACTAGCCAAGATGTTCTCTGCTGTTTCCTGTACGCTAAACCAACAACAACCTTCCCCGTTAACCTTCCATGAATTTTAAGCGACAGTGTGACGTAGATCTGA